GTTAATCCTGTTCAGAAACGGCATAATTCATTTTCAAAAACGTCTCTATCACTTTCACTTCTCACTCGCAACAAAGCTCTTGTCTCGCTCCCTCCCACATTTGTTGGTCGCATCCAATTTTACCTTTCTCGCCACAATGCTGACCTGTTACAGCCAGTGGTCGCATCCAATTTTTCAGTTTCAAAGTACTTAGCTATCTGCTGCCATCTACTGATTTGAAAAAGTATTACATGGTTACTCCACAGTTCAAAACAAGTCACCGCTCGTCAACAGCGAATGCAGTTATTTTTAGACAAAGTAGACGAATTTCTCACGGCACACCAGACAATATCATACGGCACACTAGTGTGCCGCGGCACAGTGGTTGAAAAACACTGCCCTAGACAATCATACCTGTCATCCCCGTTTATATACAGGAAATGTCCCTCGTAATTAAAGCCCCACTTGCTACGTCATATATTCGTGTAACCCTTATACTCCCCTTTTAGAACGAGCAAGATGGGAACCCCTCACCATCGAGTGCCTTAATGACGCTCCTACCCGCTGCCAAGACAGCCACCCTTTTTGATTTTTGAAGTTTCCTATTTTTGTATCCTAGTCCCCTAAAGTAGAAACTCCTGCTAATCTCTTGGCTTGGAACTTTGAGTCTTCCAGACCAAGAGACCCAGGAGTCAGGCGCACCGGCCCAAACCTTAGAGTTCACGGCCGTAGCTCACTCCCTAAAACCCCGATCCCGGTTAGAACTAGCCTGCAGGGCCAGGACTCGCCTTAGAGAAAACCCGGCCTCAACAAACCAAGCCAGAGGCCCGAGACCCAACCGCCACGAGCCTGGCCCCAGTTAGGCGCTTGCGAATTACTGAGTCACATTAAGGCGAGAATGTTGTAACATGTCACCACAAATCACGCACTAACACCCGAACAGGCGAGACGACCGACCGAGGACACCCGCCCGGCATATCCGACATGACATGCACCTTGTCGGAAGGTGCATCTCTGCCGTGGGGGGGGTATGTAAGGTTAAATAAGGGACAGGGTCGGACAACAGAGCCAGGCCCTGAGCTGTGTAAACATTCAACCAAAAGGAGGGAGACATCCCACTGCTACGTCAAAGGAACAGCGAGGTCAACCGGAGGACTGCCATTGATCACGGAGATTACAGGCGTCAAACAGAGCAATAAAGTCACCATGGGAATAAACACCTCTGTCTCTGCCTGCCTGTAGAGATCAAAGATCACAACTCTGCTCTCCCTCCCGGGACCTTCCTGTCCCTGGACAATCAACGACTCACCCACGGCGTTATGGCGCCCCCCAGCGGATACCGGACACTATCACACCCGAGGCGGACACTCGAAACGGACATTCCCCGATGACATTATGTTGATAACCGTTACGGACACTACTCGTATGTGGCGTTGTCTGTGATGTGAATGCACTGTGTATCGGTATATGATTATGAACGATAGAATGTCTATATGTGTTGTGTTTCGCCTGTGTGAACATGCCGGCTCAAAGGGGCGCCCAAAGATGACGTCACGGACGCGCCCACTTTGACCACAACAAAACCAAAGCGCGGACTCAGAGACTTCCTCTTGGTTCCCACGAAATCACTCTTGCAACCATCCTTTTTGGTACGTGTCCCCTACACGGCCTACGCCCGCCACCATCTCGGGCCTGTACATCCACGAGGACAGCAACCACTCTCGCTGTCGGAGACGAGGGCCTTCTATCGCCAGCCACTTTCGGGCTCCCTGGAACACCCCACCGCAACGCTATTCTAGACCGTGTTGTGTGTGGAATCCACGCCTGGATCCGATCTGCTGGCTTCCTCCTGCTCCCTGTTCGAACAAAGACCACGTGGACGAGGACATCGCCTCCATCCTATTCTTCATTCTCATCCTCCCATCTCCATTCTCCATTCTCCTCTTTTCATCACCATCTCCCTTGAACGGCTCAAAGTAAGACTGTTCTTTTGTTGGATGTGTGTTTCAAATGAGATGTATGCAACTTCTGTTTAATGTGACCAGAATTCCCCTTCGTTATATTTTCCATCTTTAATTTTTGTAGTCAATAAATTCACGTTAACTTTAACTCAATCATTTAAGCGTCGTGTTGTTAAGTTTTGGATATCTCTGGCTGATTTTACGCATTCACTACCTATTAGATTATGAGACTGACTCGAGGCAAAGTTAGTTTGGATCTGTGCAGACTTTTCAAACTCTGCTGGTGCCATAAAAATTAAAGCAGATCCCCACTCGTGTAGTACGGCAGACTCTGATTTGGAGACTACCCGCACTACACTACATCTTACAATTCTTCTCATAACATAATCAGTAATATTATTACCCTACAAATAGCAAGGCAAAGCCAGTGGGCCAAGCGCTGTGGAGACAAAGCAGTACCCTGACTCCTGGTGCCAAACCCCACAAACAACTGATTCGACCTTCTGAGGTCAGACGTGCGGTCCAAATAGCATCTCACAGCCCTGACCGGGCAGAGACTCTGACGCCGCTCTTCCTCCTCCGAAGCATGCGGAGGAGGGAAAAACGGTCTCACCCTGATCACCCTAGATCTGAAAGATGACGTGACGACCTTGGGCTGGAATGCCGGGTTAGGCCACAACTCCATCATGCCCTCCCGATCGGGGAGGGACAAACAAACAATGCCGTTTTGTAGGACAAACAGGCAATGGTCGCATTGTCCAGGGGTTCAAATGGAGGCCCCGAATGACCAGCTAAGACCACCTGAAGGTCCCAAGACGGAGCCGACCGCCGGAGGGGAGGCCTGATCCTGCGGGCCCCTCGGAGAAAGCCCTTCACCAAGGGGTGGCTACGCGCAGAGTGGCTACCAAACCCCACGTGCCCTGTGGTAATGGCCGCCGCGAACACACCCAGAGTGGCGGCCGCCCTTCCCTTCTCCAGCAAAAACTGGAGAAAAGCCAGGACCTCCTGGATGGAACACGAGGTGGGGTCCAGGCCTCTGTCCACGCACCAAGAGGCAAAGAGTTTCCAGCGAACCTCATACGCCTTGGTGGTGGATGTAGCCCTCCCACCCTGAATAGTTGCGACCACTGAGGGAGGCAGACCAAGGCTCAACAGTTTCCCCCTTTCAGCCTCCAAACCATGAGCCTGTGTCCCAGGACAGGGCGTGAGTAAAGGGCTCCCCCTGCCTGTCTCAGAGCGTCGGGACCGTCCGGAATGGGCCAAGGCGGACCGAGCGCCATGCTCACCAGGTCCGGATACCACCTGGTTCCCGGGCTGTCCGGCGCCACCACCAGGATGGAGACCCCCTCCCTCTTCACCCTGTAAAGCAGGGCTGCCAAGAGCCGGAGAGGCGGGAAGGCGTAGAGGAGACCGTTGGGCCACGACCTGTGCGCCATGGCGTCCACCCCGAGAGGGGGCTCGTCGCTGGACCTGAGCGAGAACCAGAGTGGGCACTGTGCGTTCTCTGCATTTGCGAAAAGGTCGGCCACCGGTGTTCCGAACCGGAGCCAGACCTCTGCCACGACCGCTGGGGCGAGACCCCACTCGTCCCGCAAGGCCCCGCCCCTGGACATCCTGTCGGCGGCCACGTTGCGCTCGCCTGGGATGTGACGGGCCCTCAGAGAGGCTAGGTGAACGTCCGCCCACAGAAGAACCTCCACTGCCAGCCTGTGAAGGGCGGGGGACCTGGTCCCCCCCTGCCTGTTCAGGTAAGCTGCCACAGTGGTGTTGTCCGTCCGAACAGTCACATGTTGGCCCTCCAGTCTGGTCACAAAATGGGCCAGCACTAACCGCACCGCCTCCAACTCCAGGAGGTTGATGTGCCCCAAGGGGGAGGACCAAACGCCTCCTGCCGAGTGGTGGCCGAGCACGCCTCCCCAACCGCTCAGTGAGGCGTCCGTGAAGACCTCGATGTGGTGGTCCACCAGACCCCTTCGAACTCCCTCCTGGAGTCGACCTGGGGACAGCCAGAAGGCGACGTCGTTCCGAGCCCTCTCCGACAGTCGCTCCCTCCGTGACAAACCCCTAGGGTGTGAGAACCACCTCTGGAGATATCGCATGTGCAGCAACCCCAGTCTCACCACTGGATGGGCCGCTGCCATCAGCCCAAGAGTGACCGGATCTGCCGCGGTGGACATCCAGTCCCCGGGCCTGACGCTCAGCAGCTGCTGTTTGACTGTGAGCATGCGAAACGGTCGCTTGGCTATGCAGCCGTTGAGGACGCGCAGGTCCAGAATGGCCCGCACCCCCCCCCCCCCCCCCCCCCCCCGCTCTTTTTGGGGACAATGAAGTATGGAGAGTAAAACCCTGTCCCTGCCTTGAGCGGTTCTACCTCCGCTACTGCGCCGCGCTGCAGAAGCGCGTCAACCTCCCTGTGAAGCGCCACGGCGTCCTCCGGGCTGCGTAGCCTTGTCTGGAGAATGCCGCAGAATAGTGGGGGGCCCCTGGGTGGAGGGCTGAGCACTAGCTGCGACCCTGGACCTTTTGCCGGGTGGCAGCAAGAGGGCAGGCGTGCTTTGCTTCCGCGGAGCCGGGCCCCCGCTCCCCAACACTGGAGACTGAGGGGGGGCCGAGCAGTCCCCCTTATTCTTCTGGATAGCTGCGGCCCTGTGCCTCTCACACGGAGCGCTGTGAGCTGGTGCTGCTGGCGCACAAAGAGTGTAGGAGGGGAGCGCACGGTCACGCACTCCCTGCCCACGGGAGGCGAAACCACGGGGAGTGCACAGCGAACCTGGAGCCTGCCTCCAACGTGCCACCTTGCAGCGCGTTGAGAGAGGCTCCAGACGCCCTGTAGAGGAGCAGCGTTGGCCAAACGCTGAGTGAGAGGGAAAAGGGAAAGAAGTTGACTCTTTATGGGAGTAACGGGCCTGCTTGCGGCCTTTATTAAAGTATTTCCCTCCCCTCCCTGTAGCTGGAGAGCCGGGGTGGCTGCCGCTCCTCCGTTGGTCACGAGCTCGCTGTCTCCCGCGCACAGGACCCAGAGAGCCTCCAGGCTCTGAACGATGCGGGGGGGCCGGGCGGTCACGGGTTCTTCGCTCCGCATAACCCGGACGCCGTGCCGTGGGACGAGGAGCCCGCGGAGGACGGAAATGCTGTGCCAACTGAGCGGAGGTCTTGGACGCTGTTTCCATCCGCTCCACGAGGGTCTGGATGTCCGGTCCAAACAAGGAAGAGGAGGAGAGCGGCAGATCCAGAAGGCGCCGCTTATAAGCATCCCTGAGAGGTGACAGGCCCAACCAGAGATGGCGGCAGGCGACCTGGGCCGCACACATGGACCTACCACCGTCCACCGCTAAGCCCTGTGCCATGCGGAGGAAGGTGGCCATAGTATCCTCAGCCTCCTCAATCTCCGTCCGGGAGAGCTCCTCCCAACCCCGGATGAGAGTGTCGAGGGAAGCAGCGAGGAGAGTCATGTTATTCGCCAAAGCAACGACCTGTGTTGCATTGGCATAACATCTGTCGAGCATGGAGATGGTCAGCTTGTCCCGCTCGGAGGGAGCTGCCAGTCCAGACCACGGAGATGAAGCTGGAAGCAGAGACAGGAGCACTTCGTCCTCTATGGGAGGAACGCCTGACGGCCTAGGCCATGCGTCCACTCCTGCATACACTCCGTACGCCAAGGCCGGGGATTTGGCTGCCATGGGCCTATCCCACTCACGGCTGGCATAATGCAGCAGCGGTTCCATCCTGGGAGCGACCACCTCACGTCTGCGTCGCCGGGGGGAGGGAGCGAGGGACTGTAAATAGTCCACCGGAGGCGAGGCGGGCTGGACCGGCATCGCCATACGCATCCTGACCACAGCCGATGCGGTCAGATGCGAGAAACGATCCAGGGGATAGCTCGCGTTGCCCCCCCTCCTGGGAGTAGGAGGACTGGGCGGAGGGTGGCACACCATGAGCGAGGCCACCATGGGCATCACTCCAGGCGGCGTTGAGTAGCCCGCTGCGCCTGTCACGCTCATTCCCTGGGGAGCGCGAGGCAAGCCACACAGCTGGGGCTTTCCTCCGCGGCATGACGCCAGCCCAGGCAGAAGACGCAGGACTCGTGGCGGTCAGCCTGGGAGAGTGCCGCTGGGCACGAGTCGCAGACCCGCGGCCTGACACCGGAGGGTCACAGATCTTCAGGCGCGGCGAACTTGCTTGATGACATCCTTGTTCCAATGAATCGAAGCTTCTCTTAGGCAAGCTGAGAGAGAAAGGAGAAGAGCTGTGGTGCATGACCCTATTTATAGGGGACAGACCTATGTCAGGACGTGAAGGTGATTGGAGGGTGGATCGTTTGATCTTCTCAGGGCGGGAAGCGATGCTTCCGAAGAGATATGCATTAGCGAAGCCTAAAGGGCGAAGCAACATATGAAATAGAACTTGCTCATCACAAGACCCTCACTAGAGTAAATTCCACATGAGGCGAGGAGCGCATTTTACTCATGAACCAGACCCTCTCGTTCACAGTGAGACAAGATAAACAACACAACAATATATAACAGTAAACATTCACGTTTCACCAGTGACTGAGTTCTGAAGGCAACAGTGGGCTGGAACGTTCACACAAATTGAGCTTCAAACTGTTCGGGCAGGAGCACAACCTCCACTTCGCAGCCGGCGCCAGATTCAAAAGTCCATTTTCTTCCCCTTAATCCATTTCTGGGTTGGGGGGGTGGCAGTCAGAGCTGCACCCAGTACACAGAGCACCAGATTCAAAATTCAAATGTAGTAAATACAGGTCGCCTGCAGATGGCGCCTCACAGACGGTTTTAGGCAGAAAGTTGCACTAAAGTGACAAAATAATGACCAGGATATGTAACACTATTGGACCCTCATTTATACCGTTTATCAGCACAAAAAAGTGGATTTGTAAGGAGTAAGATGTCCTTATCTGATGCATCCCATTGGCTTCTTGGGGATGAACGAATCCTGTTGGTTTATTTTTATCGGTCCGCTCCAAAATGTTTGTATTCATTTTTGGAGACTATGGGCATCTTGTCAATTTCATTACAATTTAAAAACACATGATAACTTGACTACTTTTAGGGTTTAGGGACGTTTTCCCAAAATATCAACAAAAAATATTAACTGGAAAAAATCACTGACTGCATCTTTAATTCATGATGTGTCATAAACTACCGATAAACAATTAATATTTACTTACTGGGTAAAATCAATTTAAAATAACTTTATAATAAGAATGAAGTAATAGTGGTTTTGTGTTTTTTTATTTTTCTTGCTTAATTTTAGCTGAAAATGTGACTGCAGTACAGTATTTTTACACTGATCCAGACCAGAGCAGAGAGGATCCAAACAGTAGCCTCTACAACAGTGACTATAACCTCACTATTGTGAATGACAGACGTAACCACAATTTCAGTATTTCTGTTGTTTAATTTTACAGTAAATCTCGAGCAGTCAACGTTTTTATTATACAAAATGACAAATGATCCTTTCATGGAAGGTCAGAGAACGTCTTCCGACACGGGGGCCCTGGTTCGTTCTGCCCCTGCTCTTTCCCCAGGCCTTCAAACATCAGGATTCTGCAAACAATATTATAGCAAAACACTAGTAACACAAATATTAAGATCAAATGAAGGAAATTGTGTGGTGGTGGTAAGTAGTAGTAAGTACGGCAGGGCGAGTGGATAGCACTCTTCTTTCTTAGCAAGAAGGTCCTGGGTTCGAATCCCAGTCAGAACAGGGCCTTTCTGATGTTCTCCCCTTGTCTGCTCCGGTTTCCTCTGGGTGCTCCGGTTTCCCCTACCACTAAAAACAAGTACAATAGGTCTGGCATGCGCCTCCTGTACCGGCGACCCCGCTCCCTGTGTGGAGTGGGAGACAAATGCCCACAAATGTAAACCGCTTTGTGACTCTGGTCTGTGAAAGGCGGTATAGAAATAAAGATTACCTACTAGACTACTAGAAGAAAGCAGCAAGAGAAACGTCACACATCCTCGCTTGAGGACATTTAGTTACATATGTTACTGATAATATTATATAATCAGATTAGATTCATTTATTTGCCATTTTCAGTAAAATTACAGTACATTGGAAAAACTGTGCAAGACTACAGTACCCCAGTGTGCACCAGACAGAGAAGATGGTACACACCAGAGCTTATGCCACGGCGCCATGCGCCGTAAAGATTAAATAAGTGGTTTTAATGACTTTGTTACCTGAAAGGTAAGAGAAATGACGCATCCTCTACTGAGCATTCTTTTACAAGGACCTCCAAAGATGCCTCTACCTGCCTTTGTGGGTCACCTGTCTATATATACTAATATGCTTTATTACAAAAAGTGATAAAAAATAAATCAAAAATATCTCAAATTTGGCAAAATGTATCATTGTGACTCCCTTAAAACAAGATTTGCCTATAGGACAATAAATAATATCTTTTTTTTTTGTAAATGTCTGCCTTGGAATGAGAAAATAATTGAAATAAGACTAAATGGCTTTGTGCCATTGGAGTCTCGTCAGAATTTACTCAAATTAGGACAAAAATCACTTTTGCAGTGATTTCCTTGTCCTTGTACATGTTAAACTGTAAATTGAAATGAGGTGGTGGGTGTTTATATGTTGTCTGTGTGTTATTACAGTGTCATTATTAGACATGTTGTAGTACAGCCATTCCCAAACTCAGTAACACCGAGGCCCCCTTAAAAATCTGACGGGTCTGCGTGGCCCCCCAAAATAATAACCAAGAAGACAACATTAAGAATAGGCTCTTCTGGTTATTTTATTTTGGGGAAATAGCCTCTGCTACAAACATTGTAATACAAAAATGATTACAGTGGATTATTCAAGTCAAATAATGAACACAAATATTTTAATATTACAAACAAAACATTATAAATTTAACATTAAATAATTATATTATTTTTTTTATTTTTTTATGACCTCCCGCGGCCCCCCTGCAGTACCCTCGCGGCCCACCAGGGGGCCGCGGACCCCACTTTGGGAGACACTGTTGTAGTATATAAGTACTAGTAGCCGCAGGTAGTAGCAGTAGCAGCAACAGTAGTAGTGGCAGCAGTAGTAGCAGTAGTAGCAGCAACAGTAGTAGCAGCAGCAGTAGTAGCAGCAACAGTAGTAGTGGCAGCAGTAGTAGCAGTAGCAGCAGCAACAGTAGTAGTGGCAACAGTAGTAGCAGTAGCAGCAACAGCAGTAGTAGCAGCAGTAGTAGCAGTAGCAGCAACAGTAGCAGTAGTAGCAGTAGCAGCAACAGCAGTAGTAGCAGCAGTAGTAGCAGTAGCAGCAGCAGTAGTAGCAGCAACAGTAGTAGCAGTAGCAGCAACAGCAGTAGTAGCAGCAGTAGTAGCAGCAGTAGTAGCAGTATCAGCAGTAACAGTGTTCCTGACACTCACAGCTTTAAGATGGCGTTCTTCTTGCCCAGCATCATTGTGAGGAAGTCATGGTAACAGATGGTGTCGTGAGATGACCCTGCAGTGACCTCTGACATCATCTTCTTCAACTCTAAGTGAGTTTTGGCCAAACCAAGTTTCTCGAGCATCCGCTTCAGACCCATCAGGTCTGAGTGTGGGGGAACAAAGGGAACCTTTTTATTTTCTCTTTCTTTGTATCTACAGTCTTCAAACCAGAAAAAGATCAACTATTTAAATCCATGGCACCAGTTCCTCTCACAACAGTTTGTCTGTCACTAGTTTTCACATGACGCACTTTTAGCCTTTGTCACATTTTTAGATCAACTTTTTCAGACCACACTCACTCAGCCAATCAGCTCTCAGTGACTCAATCACGGGCTCCTTCTTCAAAGGACTTCTTCTAGGACTGTAGTAAGTTTTATTAACAAACAAAAAAATAAGCATGGAAAAACATTACAGTTGGTTCTTTTAATTAACACCTAAATGTGGTGTACATGATTAAGATATTCCCAAAACTAAATTCAAGGCAATACGTTTGTTTTTAAAGACAGAATAAAGTTCTGTCCATGTCTAAGGATATTAGAATACACCTTAAAGTAGCAGTATGTAAGATTTGCATATCAAGTCATTATTAAAGGGCCCTAATATGTTAAAAAGGATTAATAAACAATGGTCTTTTCGAATACTTCTTTAACTGATAACAGTAGTTCAGCCTGGATATTAATGAATTTTAAAACTGGATTTACAGCCCGCAAGTCTTGCTGTTGTTTTCGATGTCCCGCCCTCCACCGTTTTACCAATCAAAAAGTCACATGTCACTGGTAAAGTAACATGTCAGGCCGCAATACTAGAAAAATTGTCTTGTTATGATTTGTTGTTGATAAAACTCTTGCCTATTCAGTGATTATAGCCCCAGCTGGATTCGTCTGCATATCTGGCAACCTGAGTCAGTTAGAGTGGGATAGGACATTATTGACCGTGACTGCAGTACCACGTTCGGCCAGGTTTTTACATATTACTCTTTAAGTCGTTCATTGCCGATGCAGAGTCTATGGACAGTGATGCTCCGGGACATTTAAGGACATTTAAGGACGATTATTTGCATTGGTCACCCCGCTCCTCATAATGTAATGGCCTCCAAGACGACCGCTGTTGTGGTTCAGGGCTATACAATACAATACAAAACAATTTATTCTTGTATAGCCCTAGGTCACAACAGAAGTCATCTCAGAGGACTTAACAAAACCATTGAAATCACCAACACAGGTCAGAGAATCAACAGTTAAAACACGTTAAAAATATGTACACAAATACATTGAATTAAATCCAAGTTTATAACAATAAAAAGCCTGATTATTAAGTAAAAAAGTTGGGAGTGCGTGTTTGTGGAAAAGTGTGTTTGAATGAGGCAATAATGTGGTAAATGTGTTTTTTTGTGTCCTTTTACTAACTTACCTATTTCCCCTTTGTCGTTGAGGTCAAACTCCATGTATTTCTCTAGAATTTCAAAATAATAACACATTTAAAGTCTGTTCACACCTCTAACAAATGTACAATAGGCATGAGATCAACTTTTAAACAGTTCCAGTTTTGATGCAAGTTCCTCCTCTTCTGCATAAGTCTCATCAGATAAAAACACCTTGAACAAATATGAGAGCCGATTATTATACATACAGTACATACATTTTCATATCTATCTATCATATATCTATCACACAGACATTTCTCACCTCATTGATAGAATTCAGTTTCTCTTCTTGTTGAGATTTGAAGTGGCCAAACGCTTTTCCACCTGCTCAGATAAGACATATCTCTCAGCTATAGGTTTTTGATAATAATTAGATAGATATTAAAATGTCTATTTGGGAAAATCTGACCTTGATGAGTGCCCATCGTGAGCAGCGCTGCAGAGAAAGTCTACAGTGTTAAAAGCAATGTTTCCTGAAGCAGAAGAGGAAGTGGAGTGAGAAAGTGCTGCCTATAACACATGCACTAGAATACAAGCAGAGAACCTACATAGCAGTTTGTTATTGCATCAAAAATAACACAATAATACTGAAGAATTGAATGCTTTTTGTACCAGCGATGACGACTCTATGTTAAGTCTTTATTATATTGACCGCAGAATGAAATGTGTTTAGAAAGTATTTTTACTCAGACAATAACTTGAGCTTTGTTTTGGTCAAATGTAGAATAGAATTCTATAATCACAGAGATTGTGAAAACTGAACAAAAGCTTGTTCACTTGTTACTTGTGATTAGAAGATATGGCCAGTGCCACAGAGAAATTAAACCAGATACAAAAGTAAAAGTCTTAGGTCTATCTATCAGGCCTGTCAGTTTGGCGCTAGAAAGGGTTCAAAGTGACCATTGATGAGACTATTTATTAAAATGTTCATTAAATAGTTTCACAGAATTGATGCAATAACTATATTGCACCAATTGTATATATAACTATAGTTTTACAGTAACACTAAAAAAGGTTGACTGTAACTAACACTGAACCACATGCACAACAGATTCTTGATGATTTTTTTGTTATTCAGAACCAGATTCAGATACAGTTTATCTGTCATTTGCAGTAAAACCACATTGGAATACATGAGCAAAAGTCCACGGTGTGCACCAGACAAGTATAAAACAAGCTAAAAAGTAGAATCAAAAATTGACAACTGTGAAAACAGTTTCAATACATTATCATTATTAAACTGTTTTTTTCAGACACAAACAGCTTTTGAAAAGAAGCTGTTCGCACATCACGATGTCCTGCATCTTGGTGAATCTTCTGCCAGAAGGAAGAAGCTGGAACATGGCTTTTCCAGGAGCCAAAAGAGTCATTGATTACGTTCTCGGTTTAAGGATTTATAAAGAGCCTCCAGAACAGCTGCTCACAGCTCAGCACCTTGTTTAGAGCTCTCTTTCCTTTGGGTGTGATGTCACACACAGTCACAGAACGTAAACTTTCAACTTGCCGTGATATCTAAGCGGGATCTTAGTTTTTGGTGAATTCTCTAAGTTTCCCCAGAAAGAAGATATACTGATGAGTTTAACAATTTTTGGTCAATGTCTAAATCGTTCTATTTAAATAAGTGAATCTCTTGCTGACGTTGACAATAATCCCTGTCATCTACACATCTCCATCAATATTTATGTCCATTACATTTTCACCACTGCAAAACAAAACTCTTTGTTTGAATGACTTTTACTAGACACCAATAGCACAGAATCAATGCATTCTGTCATGCTGCCACACAGAGGCGCTGTTGCACTAACGGCCTTTAGAGAGTGGAACTGAGAAAAGGTGGGGACCTGCACATGTCACAGCATCCTGAAAGTACATTCATGTTCGAACTGACATGTGGCAATAATGGTCCATATTTATATCATTTTCTTCATGCAATTATTAGTCTTAGTTTCTCCCTGTGAGCACGTCGGTAAGTACATTTAAATCATCTTCTTCGTCATGTTCTTTCATTGTAATGTCTAACAAAGTCTTTATTTCTCATAGAGGACATCATTTCTGCAGCTGTAGACGATAACGTTTCTTTTGAGTGTGTTCCTTCCAAACCTTTACAAACACAAAGTTGCATCAGGACGAAATGGACCAATAAATCTTCAAAGCGTGTGATTGTGGTCAGGCCTGAGAGCAGCCAGTTTCCTGATGCTGAGAGGGTAAAGCTGGACACGCAAAAAAACGGGTCAAATGTCCTCACTCTGAACAATGTGCAGAAAGCAGATGCAGGTGTGTACAGCTGTGAGGTCTGGGTCGGCTGGAACTGCATATTTTCAAAGACCGTCACTTTGAAAATAAGTGGTATGTATATTTTATTTCAGTTCTTTTTTAATCTTTTCCACTGTCACAGCTTTTTTATCAGCTTTATCAGACAAAAACTTCCACCCTCACTCAGCCAATTCAATTAAATGTATAATTAAAGTGCAATCAATGACATGAGCCAATCAATCTTCAGTAAATGGGAGATAAAGGCAAGATTGTTTTTTCCTTGCTTTACTTAATCGTGTCGTTTGCAAATAAAAAGGTCATTTACAAAAGCAATTTAGAATATTTTTATTTTAATTTTTTTTGTACATAAGGTATTCAAATATATAACACAATGCATTAAACAGGAAGTTATTGACAGGCTCTCAAAGATACTCTGTCCTAATCTCATATTTCACTTGTATATATTTTCAGACTGCCAACTCAAATCTAAGAATGTGGCGCCTGGATCCAATGTTTCTTTGGACTGCTCAGTGCGGGACCAGGCCCAGCTCTCAAATCCCTCCTGGTTTCTACTAAAGGCTGGAAAACCGGTTCCACTCCCAGACCGGTACCAGGTGATCGGGTCCAGACTGTATTTTACATCAGCTTCAGCGTCTGATGCTCAGTGGTTCCGCTGTAGTTTCAGACTGAGAGACTCTCAAGAGCGCTGCGTGGACACAAAGCTTCTACTGCGAGGTCTGGCTTTTTTTTAGTAATTAATTGTTCAAAAAACGATTTAATTCTGTTATTTTCCTTTTCACATTATTCTAATTATTTATTTGAGCATCTGTTAAAACACATGCAAACACAGAGTTGGTCAATTCCAAAGAAAGTATACAAATATTGACAAGGAGTATATACTCAGCACACAACTCTCAAAAGGAGTTGGAGGAAGATTGAAAATAATGGAATCCTGTTGAAAACTTTTGAATAGTCAAATAATAAAATATAACAATATTTACACAATATTTACAGAAAATCCTACAGATTGACTTCACTGTATTTTAGAATATCTGGTCACTTCCAATGTGATAAGCAACAGTAGTTTAACACTATAGTCATTCAGAACTTCAAAATATATATTGTAAGTCCAAGCAGAGATATATCAAGCCTTTATCTGTTATAATGATGATAATTTAATCACAGCTTTTAAAAAACCTCATGAAATAATACCATAATCATGTGTTCTTACACACAAAGGCTTGGATTATGTGCCTTTGCATGTGCTGACTCTATATCATGTATTTGTTTCACATTTAAAAAATAAATCATTTTAAATTAACACCTATAAAATAAACTTTCAAGTAACATGTTTTTTTATATTTTAAAAGCAGGACATCTTGAATTCACGACAGAAGAGAGCTCGGGTGAGTTTGACAATCTTTGCCAAAGATGCTCAAACTTAAAGCTGGGCGACATAACTTTTTGTTTCATAAATAATGAATGTTCTTTCTTCACACAGAAAGTCTTTTTAAAAGTAAAATGTTGTGTATCCCCATGTCTCTAGTACCCAAGTTATCTTCTGCACACTTGTAAGAAAGAGCCCTGAAAGTCACTATTTGACTCTTGGGCTGAAAGCTGAGTGAAAAAAAATACATGTATATGCTGTAGTAGTTGTAGTAGTAGTATATATGAAAACTGTTATGAGAACTAGTTACATGTAATTTATTATACATGGCAGTAAATGTTTTGTTTAAGTTACCTCAGCTTAAAATCACAGCATATAGGCAAGGGAAGTTTATTTGTATTGCACAATTCATACACAAGGCAACTCATAAGACTTAAAAATCATAAATAATTAACTTGAATATACAATCCTTCAGTTGTATGCGCAATTAATCAGAACCATTTTTGACCTGGATTTGAACGTTACAGTTAGATTAGTGAGATTAGGGCAGAGGATCTTTAAAGGGCCTCTCAATAACTTCCTGTTTAATGCATTGTGTTATACATTATATATTATATATTTGAATAGTCAGAGTTGGTTCATGTGGAACCAATATGTCACAGATTTACTTTGGTATGAGGCCACAGAGAGACTGGACTGATGTCATCGTACTTCCTGGTTCTAAACAAATATTTGTGAAAAGTTTTTTAGTTTGAACTATTTTCCTCCACCTGAGAGTTCATTGCTCCGCTGGCTCCTCTGATCACTACATCTCATCAGCGTCCTCACTTGCTTTGGTCACAATTTCTGAATCCGTGCTCGATATTGAGAAGTTTGTCTAAATATATAATTAGAAAATCCTGCGTAGAGAGCAGACCACTACCAGTAGGCACAGTTTCATTCTATTCAAAACATTCCTGATCACCTACCAAGTCTTATCATTTGCTCTTTCTTCTTGATAACTGGTAAACAAACAATAATAATATAAATAAATAATGGTAACACGTATAATGAGCCATGGGTTTTATAGATCCTCACCATAAAGCAAACTTATCATTACTATTGTAGTGGGTTCACATAAACATGGAGTTTCCTGTTTTTAGAGTTGTTGTGTCAGGAAAGCATTGAGTAACACACTTTTTCTGTTGTATGTTTTATACTGTTTCTTAAATCACATTTAAACGGCTTCAATTGTCACCGCTATTTGACAATCCGCCTCTGACTCCGCTCCTTACGCGCCACACTATTCGTGTTTAAAATGTGGAATCAAATCTTCAGTGGAAAATATATGCTGAAAATATGAAGGGTAAAAAAGCTTTCTGCCTGCATGTAACTCTTATGCTAATTTGAAAATTACCAGCTGCAAACGCACTCTTGTAAATAACGTAATTCAACTTACAAAACCAATTGAGGGCCAATACTTTTTATAACAAATCCACAGTCTAACGTCTTAGTCCTACATTTTCACTCAGATTCTTTAGCAAATTATTAGCGTGGATGAATCTAAAACATAACGCCAGATCTGTGACTGATGAGGGAATGTTGTACATGGGTAAAAGCTCACAAAATGTATTTAGCCCAATATGTCTCAACCCTGAAGACCATGAAACAAATGATCTTAGGGCCACATTTGCTGGGGGCCATGGTTTGGACACCTCTTCATTTGTGCCAAAACTTGAACCTGTTTCTCCTTGTGCAGCATTCACAGGTGTCCAGCCAGTTCTGAATCCTCACGGCAACATGGGGCAAGGTTATTCAGTCGTGCACAAATGGTTAGCAGTGATGGCTGGAGTCCTTGTCTCTGGTGCTGTTGGAGCTGTTCTGTACTGGAAGCTTTGTTGTAAAACCAGCAAAGCCCCCGGTGACTCACCAGAGCCACCAGAATATGAAGGTCAGTCTGCGGTTTCTCGTCTGTTGGAACTAAAATTACCCACGGTGGTTGAAAGTGATTGATTCTCTTTTCAGAAGTCAAGTCAGACGGTGCAGACTTTGACGGTGCAGACTTTGATGGTGCAGAGTTTGACGGTCCGGAGTATGATGTTGCAGAGTACAGCGGTGCAGAGTACGGCGGTGCAGAGTACGGCGGCGCAGAGTGCGGCGGTGCAGAGTACGGCGGTGAAGAGTTTCAAAGTAAGACCAAATCTTTATGAAATATTTATTTTTGAAATCATTCACACATCAATAAACAACTAGCTTCGTAAATCCATTGCAAGTAAAAAGCGTTGCCCAAAATTATTCAAAAATATAAGTGAATAGCCTCTTCTTGGCTTGAAATAACACTTACAGTACTGCATATGAACTGCACCAGGTACATTTGAAAAGAAAGTACATTTTCTCCACATATAGTCTGCACTGGAAAGAGACACAGGTTTTCATGTTGTAATGTAACCCTTAACTAACAACTGATAACAAACAAAACCGATAGACGACACAACATGATCAGGCTCATGTTGGCTCTGACCCGTGGCTCAATCAAGTCGAGTACAAACAAGGGTCAAAAAGAGTGTAAAGGGTCTAAAAGAACCAGGGCCGGTCAAATTAAAAAAATAATTCAGGGTATTTTAATGCACAGATGACTTGTTATAGACACAGCTGAAGGTAAATAAGACTAAACTCTAAGGAGGCAAACATTAAATGTTAGCTTCCATGTCGGGAATGTTCCTAAACTTCTCTGACGTTAGCCCTAATCACATAAAACAAGTTATGTGTATTTCTTTGTGTCTGCGTTTCTGCTGTTCACATAAACAACATATCTCCAGCGCCCCAGGACATACTGTAGTCTACAGCAGAATAGATGTACATTCTGCGGTCGCATCGCTACACAGGGTTTGATGATGTCCATTTGAAAAAACTTTTAAGACGGTGAAAAAAAAAAGACAAATTCTTCTCATTTGGGTTTCTTTGGTAAAATAAAGCTGGAACACATAAACTACTGCTATATTCAGTGATCAGTAATCAATGACGTGATGGAGACATAGGAACACTGGCAACACATGGTTTAGATGTTTTTTGTGGTTCCTTAGAAAGACAAGTTGTACGACGAAGTATATCTAACTTGTCTTTCAAAAGAACCACGAAAACCATTTAAACAAATACATCATAGTTTAGATATAATAGTCTGAACATTTTACACCAGTTAGAGCAAAGACCTGGGGTACCTAACTTTCAAACCACAGCAAATATAGAGTTCCTGCCTTTAAAACTATTTTGGTTCTATAACTTTCTCACTTGCATGATATTTTCCCTCTGCCATGTCACATTTTTAGATCATGTATTATTTATTAAACAAAAAAGTTATGTACCACAGCTTTAAAGATCAGTCGTATGTGCAATTGGAAAATATTTATTTTTATTTTCATTTTACAAATTTTCATCACATTCACAATATGATTATATACATTTAGCCACCTTCATACGATTCACAAAAACGTCTCAATTTCAACATAACAATATCTCAATAACGGCTCAGTTGGTAAAGTGAAGGTTAGCGGTTCGAATCCTGCTCTCGACATAAACATCATTGGTTGAGCAGTCAGATCGACTGACCCGCAGGTTGGCATGTGTGTCCTTGGGCAAGACACACCGGCGTACACTGGTGTCGGAATGTGTGCACAGGAAAAAGTGATGAAAAATATTATAAATAAAAAGATACAAAAGATATCTCCCTTGGAATTAGAAAATAAAGCAGCAGTTCCTGCAATAAGACTAAATGGCTTTGTGCCATTGACAAAACTTGTTTTAAGACAGTCAGAATGTTCTCAAACTATGATAAAAACTTCCAGATTCAAGCAATCATAACCATATAATTGATCATATTTTGCAGTGTGTGAGTGGGTGATTGATTCCTTGTTGTGAAGCGTTTTGGGGCCTTGAAAAGGTAGAAAAGTGCTAAATAAATGATAGAATTGACCATTTTTATCATTTATCTTTTGTCTTGCTGCAGTCTAGCTCCTTGGTCATGTGACTCCTGTTTGCTGTGGGAGACTCTAGTTAACAGCCTGGAGCAGATTGTAGAAACTGTCGTTGGACGTCACGGCTTCTTTCTTACACTTGGGCTCATAGTCGTTCAAATCTTCATAAACATGTGTCTGTAAATAATAAAAACATAAATTCACGATACTGTTTCAATGTGTCTGCTTGTCTATACTCATGTACAGTTCTTACCAAGTTGATATCTGCTTGTAGAGTATCTGTAAAATGTAAATGATGTTAGAGTTTTTGCTTGAACTTAATATTTGAATGTGACTGTACCTGAATCCTTGTGCCTCCTCTTTCTGTAATACACCACAGAGACACAGCACAATATGACAATGGGGACCGCAATCCAAGCAAGGGCCCTCAGAGCTGGGGGATACAGGATTTCAATGTATAAGCATAATTTACATATTACACCGTTTATTTATAATTCACTTGTTGTTTTTGCAAATAATGTCAAGAATAAAAAGGCTGGGGTATATCGACTTTTGCTTTGTAAATAATTCATGTCATTTGTCTCAACAGAAAGATTATTGAAAGAGTTGATTTAAAGATGTGACGGACTCCAAACAAATACAGTGGGGCAAAAAAGTATTTAGTCAGCCACCGTTTGTGCTAGTTCTCCCACTTAAAATAATGACAGAGGTCTGTAATTTTCATCATAGGTACACTTCAACTGTGAGAGACAGAATGTGAAAAAAAAATCCAGGAATTCACATTGTAGGATTTTTAAAGAATTTATTTGTAAATGATGGTGGAAAATAAGTATTTGGTCACTTCAAACAAGGAAGATCTCTGGCTCTCACAGACCTGTAACTTCTTCTTAAGAAGCTCCTCTGTCCTCCACTCCTTACCTATGTTAATGGCACCTGTTTGAACACGTTAGCTGTATAAAAGACACCTGTCCACAGCCTCAAACAGTCAGACTACTGATCGTGATAGAACTGTTTTGAAAGAGAACTGCTGTTATTGATACACAATGTACATATTATTCCTATCTCAGAGTAAATACACACTCACACAGGACTTGTTTAGTGGAGCACGACTGTTGCCAGAGCAAAGTATGGACTTACAGTATTTTAACTTCAGTTTAGGATGCATGATATTTTCAACATAGATTGGTAAAAGACAGTGGCACAGTTGGTAGAGCATTAGCCCTGTTAGTCTCAAGATTGTGGGTCCGATCCCACCACCAACTCCCACTGAGGCTGTCTGCTGTTGTTGTGTCCTTGGGCAAGACACTTAACCCCACTTTGCCTGAAGCCCCCACTGACAGATCAAGACTGTGTCGTCTCTGACAGAGCAGCCGTCCTCCTGTGGACTCACCACCTGCAGGAGGATCAGTGAGGGGCTGGTGCTCTGTGACTTAGGTGCATCTCTGACTGCCCCGCCGACCCAGAAATGGATTAAGGGGAAGAAAATGGATGGATGGATGAGGCTCCCGACCAGGGTCAGTATTTTATTTACCAAATATTTATTATCATCACCTTCAGTTAAAATTGGACACAACATGTTTTGTTTTGCTCCATCAGCAGTTGGTTAAGTGTAACCTTACAACATGCAGCTTATATGTGCACAAAATGACTTTCTTCAAATTTACAGTAGTTGCAAGTATTGAAGTTACATGGATTCTATTATGTTGTTAGTTTTTTATGTAGTTTGAGTTGGGTACCTCAGCTTGAAGTCTATTTGATAATGCAGAATCATGTTTGATAAAGAAGTTGAAAATGAAATGAATCTTTCTCCATGATATCAGTCAGATCATTGAGACCAGGAGCGTGTTGCTTTAGCGGAAACAACATGTATGAACTATTTTCCGTCACGTTTTGTGGTTCATTGCTGTTTAAACACGTACTCCACTGTAATTTAAGGTTGACTGGTGTTTATATGTTATGTTGATTTCACTGCTGTCATAATTCTTTAAAAATATCTTACTCACGGCTGCTTTTGTTATAACTCCACTTCTTTGTCACCACCGGAACACCTTCTCTCAGCGCTGAGCACACGACATCCCCGCGGCCCAGAGAAGCCACTGGGATCCAGAATTTGATGAGAAGACTTCTGTTTCTAACAATTAAATCACTGTTTATGAATGTATTGTCAGCTTCAGACCAGGTGAGGTTGAAGTCGCTGTCACAGGGGTCACAGGCACAGGTCAGCACACAGCTCAGCGTGGCATTGTGTCTTTCTGCGTCCATCTGAGCAATGACTGCAGGGGGAAAGTAGAATAATTATGGATTATTCTGTCACTTGGTGAAAACTAAAGGTCTCAAAACACAGGAGTGTAAAATAAATTATTTATTAATAATAGCAATGTCCACGGTGAAAATCTAAAAAAGAACAAAGGAACAGTCAAAAACAGAAATGAACACAAATGATAATGGACCAGCCACAAAAGGGGGTGAGCACAGGTACGTCTTGACACAGAGAGACACCCCAGTTGTCATCGGTCCATTATCTCTACCTTGTTTGTTCCTGTCTTGTTTTTGTTACTCTGGATTTGGATTCTATCAAATTACATTTTGGGTTCTTTTTTTAATTGCACATGAAAAAAATAACCATAATGCACATCATGGCATATACAGTACATTGATTCCCCCTTAAAGCTGCACTAACTGACTTTGGGATTTTGAAGCCGCGGACTCGCTGGCCTCGCTCTTTCTGCTCCCCTCCCCGCACCCACGAAGCTATCGCCCCCCACACACACCCACTGTTGGGACGGAGCTAGCGTCTCCCAATATGGATAATACATGGATATGGATTTGCACGTGGATGGCGTGACCACAGAACGATAGAACCGGGAAGCGCGGAGGAAAGAGACTATAATACTTATAAATATAGTCAGTTAGTGCAGCTTTAAACATGAGCTTGAGAATGTTTACTTTTTAAAATATTCTCAAAATATTTTTATTATCTTGTATGGATAAAAATGACAATTTGAGTAAGCGATGACGAGAATACAGCTTAAGTGAGAAATTGCACTCTACTATACATTCTAGATCTATACATTAAAACATGACATAGTCCAATAGAAAGTATGGAGATATTTGATTATAATTAAAAACCCAACCAATTAGGGTTTGACCAATTTAATAGTATTTATTGTGATTTTATTTTCTAATAATCCACATTTGTGCGACACCCTTCAAGACAGCTACTATTGTGTTTTTGGGTGACACAAACATACATTGATTTGGTTTGAAAAATATGTAGATCAGGTTTAAGAGCTGAAAGAATGCAGAACACGCGTTTTTAGCACTCACTGTCAATTGTGTGGAGCCAGATCGTTTTGGCCTGTCCTCCTTCTACACACTGATATTCCCCCGAATGAGAAGCTGTGACAGCTTTGATCACTGTGGTGGTAGCTGTGTTTGACATCAATGACCATGTTTGGCCTTCTCCAGTCAAAACAGAAGAGGAAGCATTTGTACAAGTGAGAGACACGGACTCGCCCACTGCTGCGAACACTTCCTCTTTGCCATCTGTGGAAATAAAACACATTTTCACCACCGTAGGAGTTAACCAGGGCAAGTACAGCCGTGTCCAAAAAGTAACTATCTGACTAGTTAAACGCTCCTCTAACTCCATGAGTGGTTCTCAAAGTAGGGTCCGGAGCTCCCTCTGGGTCCTCAGGGATCTGATTTGGCTCCTGGGACTAACTAACCATTCAGGTATATGTCAGAGGTGCCATATCTAACGTTTGGAGCGCTGCGGCCCCTCAAAACACTCTAAAGATGACTCAGGGACCCCTTCATCTGTCACATGTTTCCTTGTTCATTTAAACACAACACATTTTTATATTTGCCTTGGGGTTGTTCCAATTAGAAATGTGTTTGTTGTTTTGCAAAACCGGTGTGAATAACAAATGGCTGCTCTGAAGAGTGAAGCACGGGGCACATGTACCTGCGGCTGTAGTGAGGTACGAGGCTGTGGCTTTAACAGAGCCGTTCACCTGCACCTGGCACCTCCACCGTCTGAGGTGGTCCGTCTGCTTCTGCCTGAAGTGCAGTTTGAAGAAACAGTTGGAGACGTTGTCGATCTGAAAGCGCTGTCCTCGGAGTGGACTGTTGTCCTCTGCGACCCACATGACCCTGAGTCCAGGCTCGGTGCACAATGACAGTCCGCGGTGATTGTTGATGTAGCATTGCAGCTCAACAGGGTTCTCCTGGTTTTTAGTAACTGTCAAAAGAAAAGATAAAAAACTTGAGTCTGGTGTGTGTGTGGAGGATTGATGGTGGTCAGAGGGGACGATGGTTTGGTTTTGGGCTCCGCTTTAAAACTATTGCAATCAATAGGATTTCCCCTTAAAAAAACATAGAAATTAGTAAAGCCTATGGACTTTTATGAAGGTTTTGTAAATAAGAGATAAGTAAGGGATAATGTATTGTACACAGGTCATTATCGGAAAATAAGTACCGACAGGGCGAAGCGGACCCCGACGCGAGGTCTGCTTCCGCCCTGAAGGTACAGTTAGGCTAGCAACTCCCAAACTAGAACTCTCTGGAACTGCATTAAAACTGAACAAAGAATTCTGAACATCAGCGTTACATTACACTTCATTCATTAGAAATCCCATATCAACCTGTTAGATTCATGTTATCAATGGATAGATCTGCTGAAAGCTACGCCTGTCTTTACCTCAGTAAAATGACGCATGCGTAGACCAACTGACAGAGCACACAACTCGTCTGAACACCGGATGTTGACATTATGAAATTGATAATCAGTGACTGAAATTCACAGACAAAAATATTCAAGATGTTAAAAACATTCAAATAGATGAATTCAGGTCCATTTAAAATTCAATTTCTGATGGAACAAGATTCCGGCTTTTTTTTCCATTGAATTTTTATTCTTTTATATTTTGAAGGTGAATTTTTGAAATTGTATTCACAATGAAATTTGTAAACTGAATTTTTTGTGACTGAAATGTAAAGATAAAAATATTCAAACATGCTTTTTCAGGGTTAAAAATAAAAAAATAAAAAATGTAAGCTACAAAAAATTCTAAATCTGATGACACAAAAAATCTTCCATAAGGGCTCTACATGGTCAGGCGCCTGAATACATCCAGGGCCTGATCCACCCCTATGTCTCCAACAGGAGCCTGAGGTCCTCCACTCAGAACCTGTTGATGGTCCCCCGCACTCACTTTAAAACCAGAGGAGACAAATAAACTTTACTTACTTACTTACTTAGTTCACATTCTTGTGAGCTGGATTTTCAGTTGATTTTTTAGATAAAATAAGATAAAATAAGAAAAGATAAGAGATCCTTTAGTCGTCCCATAGTGGGGAAATTTCAATGTTGCAGTGCACATACAGGTCAGTAGTATGAGCAAACTAAATATACAGTATGATTAGCTGCTATGTTTCTTAGCTATCTTTAAATGCTTCAACATCAAAATATCAATGGGTAAAGGTGTTGTATGTTGGGTGTTCTTGTGTAATGTGTGGAATACTGCTCCAAATGTGTCTGAGAACAAACTGACAGACACACTCCTTCTAAGTCCTTCTAAGGCAGGTACCGGCCATCCCCTGTGCCTCACAACATGAGCGTACAGTCTACTCCAGGGGTTAAAGCAAAAAAAAAAGATTTGACTGAAAATCTTTGCATGGAAATTTATCACATGTAAATCACAGTAATATGCAGGACCAAGTTATATTTTTAATTACAATATATTATTGTATAATAGATTGTATATTGAATACAGCTCAAATGAATTCTTCAAAGATATACAGTGTATTTTGATATGAAATATAAGTGGATCAAGCAACGAGTAAACTTTTTGACAGAATATTAGTGAGAGTAGCTTTACTTGAGGCGATATGGAGCGTCAACACTTTGGCTCTGTCCTCGTCAAAATATTGCAAAAGGACGATACAATTCTGTCCACATTTGTTTGTGGACACGTCAATATTTAAGAAAAAGGTTTCCCTATCAAGTTTGAGTGCACAGTGCACTTCGATCAACTGCAAATGATTTAAATAAATCTTCCAGCGGTAGTGATATTCTGAACGTTATTTTCTGCGATAAAGCCACAGACACGGTCCGCCAGAGCAAGCCTAGTGTTAGTTGTTGCTGATGCACCAGGTAGGGTTGCCAACTTGAGAACAAAAAAATAAGGAACACCATTTGGGTGGATCGGGTTGAGCACTTTTTAGTCCTAATTTCAATCTACACAGAAATCATGGAATTTCATAATCACAGTTTTTAGAATGTAATTTATTGACTACATATAAAAATTAAAAAAAATTCTTAGGCAAAAATTAAATGTAAAAAATAGGTGGAACTCTTTGGCTGGTCAAGGAGTTAATGCATTCTTATTAGAAATAAAAATATAAAAAGACAAATGCTGTAACATACATTATTTATGTATGTTACAGTAAAGACCATTTACTGTAAAAGAAAAGAAAAAAAGAAAAACATATGTATTCATTAAAAAAAAACTCACAAATGTTGAAATCAAAGTCTGTTGCAGTTAGATATGGTAATAATTTATATTGTCAGAGTTTAGTGCGTGTACATGGCTTCAGTAAAAGCTATTGTTCGTTTACAAAGCTGGTCTTGACATTTGTTGACGTTCCCTAAACGCTTCTCTCTGCGCTTGCAGTGAACTGGATGATTCAATGGATTTCTCTGCATTAAAACAGCGCATTTAAAAAAAAAAAATCAACGTAGAGGTGATCATTTTAGCAAATTACTTTTGTTTTACAAAGTAACTTCCGTGAGCTATTGAACGCGGAAGTCAGAATCTGTTAAAATGACGCTACTTTACCAAACTTCTGCCGTGATGATGCTGCGGGCACGGCCCACGCTGCCACTTGTCATGGATGCGATTGAGCCTACGCCCCCTTCCACACTGTTTAGCGAAAGGTAGACGCATAACTGTGATTACTGTGGGTGCGTGTGTCGCGTGTGTGACATGCGTGAGTGCGTGATGCATTAAGGCGACTGCTGAAAATACGGGACAAAGCCGTCCCGTATCCATCTCAATACGGGACGCACAATAGTTTTCTATAATACGGGACGAATTCGTATTTCAAGGGACGGTTGGCAACCCCTAGCACCAGTACGAGATGAAGGTGTGGGAAAGCTGCAACAAACAGCTGCCCTTGCTGCGCACAAGCACCGGCCACTTTCATCTTTTCGCACCATGACTCGTTGATTGGCTCTTTTACATCACGCTGAGTTTTGCAAGAAGATCGCAAACAAGACAATATCAAAAGCTCACCAAGACATGTTTGTCCCCATTCCCAGTCGCAGCAAAGTCCGTTTTGTACATTCCGTTAAGTAAAATAGCATTGCGTTTGGTAAACGTTAATTACCTTTCGTCTATTACGCGCCCAGCTTACCAGTCCGGATCTGCTGCTGTTATTGCTCCGTTCGAGATTCAATTTTCCTCCTCTTCTCCTTTTCAAAAGCTCCGTGCAGTTTCCAGAAACTTTCACCTCCGTGTTACCAATGCTAACTTCATCGCGTCTTCATTTGCGCGTGAGCTCAGCTACGTCCCATTGCCTTCATTCATTTGCGGAGCGCTCATGTGGCCACGGCACGTTCAAGGCCCACTCGTCATTATATTACTTATTATTTCTATATACATATAAAATACAATTATATTCAAATTATTATTATACATCGATATATATATATATATATATATAACAGATTCACACGTATATGTATTACTATATATTATTTTTATAATCAATCATTTCATTGTGTGTATTATTATCATCATATATATATATATTTTTTTTTTTTCCAGACCAATTTCATTTGACGGAAATCCGTCACCCAGACGGAACTCTTTAATCCCTGGTCTACTCACTGTTGAGGAACTGAAGCTCCACGTTCCAGGTCTTTTCGCCGTTTTGACAAATATAAACTGCGGGGTAACTGTGGTCCATGTGCTTGATGAGCAGAGAGCAGTCTGAGAGCAGAGTCACATTAGGATCTGTCACATTAGGATCCATCACTTGTCCCGGTTTGATCAGTGCAAAGAAGGGGTCAGCTCTGTTCCAGGACACAGAGGTGCAGCCAGAGCCACGGGCCACAGGGCAGGGCAGAGTCACACGGTCTCCTGTTGCGGCAAACATCAGATCTGCAACATCAACAACACGTTCATTAATGCAGTCAGAATATGCCAAATCAGATGCTGCCAGTTTTTTGCCATTTGCCGTAAAACCACATTGACCACGTCCCCTGACCTCTGAAACTAACTTTCCATCACTAAATACTCGTGTGCAGTGTTGTTACCTGAATGAAGAGCTGACTCTTTCAGAATAGCAAATAGAATTCCAATACAAAATGAGAAATCCATTTTGAAAAACGTGTAGTTTGCGGTGGCAATCATAACTAAAGACAAAGAGGAGTGAGAAAAAACCCTTAAATACTTCAGGAAATGACACATATCACAACAGCAGCTCGTGGGTGTTCTTTCTCCTACTACAGCAATACTTGCAAATACTTCTCATTTTACCACACTGAAAACATGACCAAGAGAGACTTGTTTTAAATGCATGACAAGAGTGGCCACATATTTGTATTTACAGCTGCAGTTTAAAATGTCCATACTAGATGGTGCTATTAACTTTATCTCCTAAAGAGCACTGTTTTTAATACAATACGTTTCATAGGTTTTTACACAGTTTATTGTCCTATGATATTATGAAGAATATATCAAGCTTTCACATGCAGGTGTCTAAAGTCACAGCATTCGCACCTCTTTTGAAGCACACTGAGGATGGCTCAGCGTTCTCATTCACACAAGGCACTGTTTAGTTTAGACCTACTCTTGGTCGATGTTTGTGATTCACTGTGATAGAATGTAATCATTCCATCCAGTTCAATACATCCTTCAGTCCATCATCAGTGTCCCGCTCACTGAGGCGCTGAACCAACTCAAATGGCCACATGTTGTGGTCAACAAAGTAAAGTCTGTGTATGTAGCTGTGTGCGTGAGAGGGAGTGAGGGTGAGTGAAGGAGGGACAATGTACCTCCATTTTTGCACAAAAGCCCTACCAAGGCAGGATGTTTTGTAGTCATTTCTGACTGCACTGTCCCAGTCAAAGATATTGCAATTATAAGGTTAATTATTTAACCATCCGAGTAATAGTCTATTTGAAGGACAGATACTGCTTTGGTCTTATCTGCCATTTGAAGGTAGATAAATGTGGCTCCTTCTAAAGTCACCACTCATGCCCCAAATTAGACCCTCTGATGGTCCAATGTGGCCCACGGACCCCAGCTTGGGCAGCCCTACTCTAGTCTCTGGAGTCTAAGGCCAAGGTCTGATATTTCTCTGTACAGACCGAGCAAGTGAGGTTAATAAATGTTTTATTATATGACTATTTTTAATTTATCGATCTCCGACTTGGTTTTCCTAATCGTGTTTTTAGCTTTCTGGTCTGCAACGAAGTTGTCAATCTCATCTCGTCTGTAAGTTATTTTTTCTTCGTTATTTTCTGTAATTTCTTCCTCTGGCTTGTCAAACTCGTCCGGATAATAGAATTCACCGGAGAATGCTCCCAGTTGTCGCCCATTATTTCTTTTTTACAGAGAAAACTCAGGAAAGAAATCCATTGTGATACGCGCTGCGGATTGATTGTCATGGTAACGGTCCGAGGAAAGATATTAAATGTGATACGCGCTGTTCGGACCAATTGTCATGGTAACGGTCTGAGATGGGAAAATATCAGACCCGTACGATCCAAGTCATATAATATGTTTACTTACTGCTCATGCTCAGTGTGTTTCTCTATAAAGACTGCTCAGGCATTCATGTGTGTGGAAGTCCTACAGAGTTTTCTTTGCTTTCTCCTTTTTGAAACAAACTACTAACACTAGAACAAGGGTCTTCAGGCCAAAACACGGGAGCTCCCAGTGGCTCTGAGCCCTCTCAGTGGCTCTGTTCAGGAAATCTTCAATCATCGTTGTATCCTGCTGTGTAAGGACTCAGTATTTATTATTTTCTGCAATAATAAATGGAGAATGTTTTAGACACATCTATGGCTCCCTTTCAAAAAGTTGAAAACCCTTCAGCTCGGTGCTTCTACTTTTTTAGTTTTTTTCAAAGTAGCAGTAAAAAATAAATAAATAATTAAATCAATCAATAAATGGAGAATGTCCAGAGGTGGAATGGCCTCCTCAGTGACCTCCTCAGTGACCTCCTCTGTGACCTCCTCTGTGACCTCCTCTGTGAGTTTCTATTTCCTTCTGCAGTGATTACAGCTTGAGCCATGTTTCAACTTTCAAGGCATGTTTAAATCTGTACTTCTGCTGTTCCAGGACAAACAGCGCTCTTTTCTGTCTCACACCAGTTACATTTAACCATAATGATCTGTCTGTTCACCTAAATTAATTATAACAGTGTGAAAACACGGCAAATGTTCACTAATAATAATAATAATAATAATAATGCATCAGATTTATATAGCACTTTTTTGGACACTCAAAGACGCTTCACATGTCATTATTTTTTCACTCCATACACAGTGGTGATAAACTACTACTGTAGCCACAGCTGCCCTGGGGCACACTGGCAGAGGCGAGGCAACCAGTGCCATCGGCCCCCCCGACCACCACCAACCATTTACAAAAACCACCAGACTCATTCTAGGCAATGGGGGTAAAGTCTCTTGCCTAAGGACACAACGGCAGTTTGGCACTTTACAGCCACGGCTGCCCCACTGAGGCATCAGGTGTTCTCAGAGGTTAAGTGTCTTGCCAAGGACACAATGACAGCAGACATTAGTGAGAGTCGGTGGAGTCTTGAACCCACAACCTTCTGGCTCAAAGGCCAATGCTCTACCAACTGAGCTACTGCCGTACTTAATCTACATGTGACTTTAATAACTAATAGTGAGATACTTGAGTATATCAGAGAATTTTACTCCAGTCCCTGCACTGACCAGGGTCACGGTTCATTGCACTGATTTGGACACAGATACATTTGAAGCTCACAAACTCCTGCTGTTATTCAGAGATAGCTGTGACAGCGTTTTACTTTGGAGCCTTCCTGATCAACGTCGGCCATTTTCAGCGGCTTTGACACGTGTCAACAAACAACTGAGTCAAGTCCATGTGTAATGAAGCACTTTGATAAAGTTTCTCCTCACACAAACATGTGGCCCATTGGACACAGCCACACATGGACAACACTGTTCACATCACGTCTTGTTCACTTCTTTGATCCATATTTATTATCATTATTTCAGTCATTTATGTGAAGTTACCTCCGGGGGACAGGTCCAGTCTGTCCGGGGCGCGGACGGGGCGGTCCATGCTTTGAAGGGTTGTTCACAGTTCGGTCAAAGCTGGAAAAGTGTCCAAAACCTAGTTGTCAACAGTGCACTGGGGCTACAGTGTATATACAGTGCCTTGCGAAAGTATTCAGCCCCCTTGAACCTTTCAACATTTCGCCACATTTCAGGCCTCAAACATAAAGATTTAAAAATTAAATTTTTTGTCAAGAATCAACAACAAGAGGGACACAATCGTGAAGTGGAACGAAATTTATTGGATAATTCAAACTTTTTTAACAAATAAAAAACTGAAAAGTAGGGCTGAAACAACTAATCGATTAATCGACGACTAATCGATTAGTGAAATAGTCGACAACTATTTTAGTAATCGATTAATCGTTTTCTGGTTCACACGGACTCAAACAGAGCAAAAATGACATGAAAATGTAGTATTTTTGATTAAAACCGACTTTGTTTTTATAATTTCACGAATATCTGTCTGTCTCATCCAATCAGAGCAGAATTAGCACAAAGAGCCTGTTACAAACATTTACTTTAAGTTTACGCCATCAATACGTCCTCGAGTGTTGCCACTTTAGCTTTTTGTGATGAAAAAATAATTTTTTTCTACACAATTCACAGCCAAGCGATTACTCGATTAATTGTAAAAATAATCGATAGATTAATCGATTACAAAATAATCGTTAGTTGCAGCTCTACTGAAAAGTGGGGCGTGCAATATTATTCGGCCCCCTTGCGCTAATACTTTGTAGCGCCACCTTTTGCTGCAATTACAGCTGCAAGTCGCTTGGGGTATGTCTCTATCAGTTTTGCACATCGAGAGACTGGAATTCTTTCCCATTCTTCCTTGCAAAACAGCTCGAGCTCAGTGAGGTTGGATGGAAAGCATTTGTGAACAGCAGTCTTCAGCTCTTTCCACAGATTCTTGATTGGATTCAGGTCTGGACTTTGACTTGGCCATTCTAACACCTGGACACGTCTATTTGTGAACCATTCCATTGTAGATTTGGCTTTATGTTTTGGATCATTGTCCTGTTGGAAGATAAATCTCCGTCCCAGTCTCAGGTCTTTTGCAGACTCCAACAGGTTTTCTTCAAGAATGGTCCTGTATTTGGCTCCATCCATCTTCCCATCAATTTTAGCCATCTTCCCTGTCCCTGCTGAAGAAAAGCAGGCCCAAAGCATGATGCTGCCACCACCATGTTTGACAGTGGGGATGGTGTGTTCAGGGTGATGAGCTGTGTTGCTTTTACGCCAAACATATCGTTTTGCATTGTGGCCAAAAAGTTCGATTTTGGTTTCATCTGACCAGAGCACCTTCTTCCACATGTTTGGTGTGTCTCCCAGGTGGCTTGTGGCAAACTTTAAACAAGACTTTTTATGGATATCTTTGAGAAATGGCTTTCTTCTTGCCACTCTTCCATAAAGGCCAGATTTGTGCAGTGCACGACTGATTGTCCTATGGACAGACTCTCCCACCTCAGCTGTAGTTATCTGCAGTTCATCCAGAGTGATCATGGGCCTCTTGGCTGCATCTCTGATCAGTCTTCTCCTTGTTTGATATGAAAGTTTGGAGGGAGGGCCGGGTCTTGGTAGATTTGCAGTGGTTTGATACTTCTTCCATTTCAATAATTGCTTGTACAGTGCTCCTTGAGATGTTTAAAGCTTGGGAAATCTTTTTGTATCCAAATCCGGCTTTAAACTTCTCCACAACAGTATCTCGGACCTGCCTGGTGTGTTCCTTTGTCTTCATGGTTCTCTCTGCGCTTTAAACAGAACCCTGAGACTATCAAAGAGCAGGTGCATTTATACGGAGACTTGATTACACACAGGTGCATTCTATTTATCATCATCAGTCATTTAGGACAACAGTGGATCATTCAAAGATCCTCACTGAACTTCTGGAGTGAGTTTGCTGCACTGAAAGTAAAGGGGCCGAATAATATTGCACGTCCCACTTTTCAGGTTTTTATTTGTTAAAAATAATTATCCAATAAATTTCGATCCACTTCACGATTGTGTCCCACTTGTTGTTGATTCATAACAAAAAATTAAAATTTTATATCTTTATGTTTGAAGCCAGAAATGTGGCTAAATGTTGAAAGGTTCGAGGGGGACGAATACTTTCGCAAGGTATATTCCACAACTTTGGCCTCAAACACAAATGAGACGAAGAGAGTGAAGTTTTATGTCAAAGCCTCCAACAGCAAGTCACGTGAGCAGCAGCTCTTATATACATATATACATTCTGCGTCTGACTTCATTTCAACACAACACAGGAGCTTTCTGATAAAGTAAGTCATCTTTATTGATATATCGTCTTTCACAAAGTCACACATTTGACCTCTTACGTCACACAGTGATAGAAACGTGGTCGGCAAACAGGAAGAAACCTATGTGACCCGGGGAGAACATGCAAACTTTTTAACCCAGGACCTGCTTCCAGTGAAGCACAAGCGGTGACCATTGTTTCTATTCACCAAGATTGTGGTGAGGTTTGTGTAGTGTATGTATGACTATGTATGGTTTAACCTTTAACAAATTCATGTGAGCTGTGGATTTCTGCAGCTTCTCCAGAGTAACCATTGGCCTCATGTCCGCATCTGTGATCAGTGCTGTGAGTTTGGGCAGACAGCTGTGTCTCGATAGATTTGCAGTTGTGCCATATTCTGATCCTGGATTAAACTGTGCTCTGTGAGATGTTCATGACTTAACCATGCTTTAAACCTCTCCATGACTCCATCCCTGATTTGGTGTGCTCCTTGGACTTTATCATGGGGTTTAGTGACCGATACACTCTGACCATGGCTTTGAGGCCCTCACATAACATCTGTAATTATACTTAAGAGTAGACAATACACTATTTTATTGTTAGGACAGTGAAAAATTACAGGAGAAATGCTGTATGATCACATATGCAAAACTTTTTCTTTTGTTGTTTTTAACTCATGTTTCATATGATGCTTTGATGGGGTCTTTCAGCTAAATAATTTGAACACAGAATCTTTGCAAAGCACTCTATTTGATACTTTTGCTGATTCGCTTTTTCAGTCTGAAAAAGCTGATCTAATGATATTAGACTAAACAGACATGCATGTGAAAACTTGTGATAGAACCTCACTGTTTTGAATGTACATAGTTATGTTTTTTAGTAATTTGAATTTCAGTAATTGGAAAATCTCTCAAAAACAGCCAAAACATCAAAATAAATCGTACTGCCAAGGCTCTCACAGTATAGGCTCTGCATTCAAATTAAAAAAAGACACTGTCTATCTTTTACTTTCTTCTCTTTTTTATTGACCTTGGTTGAAACATTGCTGCCCTAGTGTGTATAATTGTGTAAAATAAGAATTATACTATATTTGAATCAAATACTTCATAATTGTCCTTTTTAGCTGGGCTGTCTGTGTCTGGGCAGTGCAATGACTTTGAAAGGTTGTATTTTGAGCACAACGCTGGCCACGCCCTTCAGATCTGGTAGTGGGACGTCTTCAGGAAGAACAAACTGAAAGTCTCTCAGCAGGTAGGCCGTGAAGAGGAAAAGCTCCATTTTGGCCACGGACTCCCCCAAGCAGAGCCGCGCCCCTCCTCCGAATGGGACAAGGGCGCGAGTGGAGCCCTGGCCCTCCAGAAAACGCTCTGCAAGACACCAGAGTCCAGAGGTCAAGGTTTGGTTAAAGCTGGACCACGTAAGTTTCAGCTTTAGGGTCAGCATTTTGCTTGTGTCAGAACAACTCAGCATTTGCGACCCGTCTTGCAACCAATTTATTTTGCCGATGTGTGTTCAGTGTCAGCACTCCGAACCAAATATAGCGGTAAAGGCAAGATCTCTGGTGTGTACTATCTTCTCTGTCTGTTACACACTGGGGAAGTCTTGCACAGTCTTAATGAAATCTTGTATCTTGTAATTTAGACATCTGTTAACAACCCTTTGCTTATGTGTGGGCCAGGTGAAGAAGGTCACAAAACTCAGTCAATTCAATTCATTAAATACATTTCTGCAGATAGCTTACTGAGGAACATTCCAGAAGATGACGCCCCTTTTGGAACAAGTAGGTAAAGTTGCGTGATGCATGGTTAACGTCTGGTGTATATGAACCCAGAATTTGGTGTTGGTTGTGTTTAGATGGGAGTGACTGCAGTTTGTGACGTACACTGACTCCAGTCAAGTACCAAAACCTCGCAGGTTCACAGAGATCAATGGAGCAGCTGTTAAATCACCAAAAGACCGGAGCAGGCCCCCTGCTGAGCCCCATCCACAGCCCCGCTCTGAGGTCAGACCTCAGCTGATGGCTTTTAACACTCTGGGACTCATGCGGATCCTAATCCGGACCACAGTTGGAGCCAGTATTCGCCTGGCATAGGTGTTTACCTGGTCTGAAACTGTAGGGATCTGGCCAGACTGCAGGGTCGTGATGAGCGCCAAAGAGGTTTGGAATGATCACAGTGTTTTTGGGAATGAAATATCCGGCAATACTAAGAAAAAAGATATGAGGAGTACAAAATAAATTAAAAATGGTTCAAATGCACAGGACAAATGGCCACACAGGGACAACAGAGTAAATCTTAGCCTTGACATTAACATTGAACATTAACCGCATTACTCACAGAAGTACTCAAGTTTGTGGATTGATGTAAGCCACAAACTTTCTAAACACACCAAAATATTATCTTTAGTTTATTCCATACAAAGACAAGAGACTCAACCACAATATGTTATTGGTGTGTTCTCAAAAGAAAGAGCCATGTGAGTCACTATCTCTCATTGGACTGAGAACTAATCAGCTGCGTGAGGATGATCCTCTTTTTTTCACTTTTCTCTTTGAAAACGTTGATCTAAAGACGTGAAAATGCCAAAAATGCATGTATGTAAAAAGTAGAGAATGAATCTGTTTTGAGCGTGAGGAACATGGACATGGATTATAATACATTGTTCTATATTTTTGCAGTTTTCAAAGTATCCCAGCTTTAAGCAAAAAACAGAACTCACAGTTAATACTGTATGTTAAGCAGAGAATTCCATTTAATACAGAAATTCCAGTGAATATGAAACCACATGTGTCCACTGTCACTTCACTCATCTGTGCAATAATAATTTTAATAATGTCAGAATGTGCAATATAGAACCACATGTGTCCACTGTCTCTTTACCGAGCCACTTTGTCGCACAACCGCATGCTGCCAACAAGTACACGTATACATACAACTATGTTTCTTGCACCAGGACATACAGAATTGTATTCTTGCTTCTTTGTCATGCTAAAGTTAGAGATGTTGTACTTGATTCTTTATGATGCTAGAGTCGGAGTTGGAGTTTAAAAAAATATATTTTATTTTAGTATAGAGTTATTGTTCATTCATCTAGTGCTGTGTGCTCCTCATTCCTACTGTTCTGTAACCTGTGACGCAAGTTATGCAACACTGAAATTTCCCCACTGTGGGACGAACAAAGGATCTCTTAATGACAATAGCAACAAACATATTTTGACATATAACTTTCCTTGTCTTTGTGAAAGTGTGAGCTTGCACCTGCTGTCCCGGATGGCCCGGTGTGGCACTGCCAGGGGGGCGACCGGCCGCAGCCTCAGCACCTCCTGCACCAGAGCGTTCAGAGCCGGGAACTTGTGTCTGTCGCTGTATTTGGGATCCTGCCCGTCCAGCACCACACTCAGCTCCTCGTGAACTCTGCTCTGCACCTGAAGGACACAGGCAGGGTGAGAAAGAAAGAAAGGTATTTATGGAATTATGTCATTCACTCCCGAAACAATTGTTGCCACTCCACTGTTGTTAGCTCGAAACAGTTTGGTTCTATCACTAGATTTCGCTATCATGTATTTTTGGCTTCTGTCACCTTTGATCCTTAGTTTCAACCTCCATCTTTTGTTCAGCTATTTTTGTTGTGTCACCACCAAGAAACTAGTTATTTTTGAAAAAGTAAGAGTAGAATAGAAAGATAATTGATATCACTCTCCAATATGATCCAATCAGCTCTCAGTACGTAAACAAAGTTTTCTAATGAAGAGAGCATGTTATGGTCTGATTTGTTAACAATATGTTATTTAAACAAGACTCTTTCTGCTGTGACAAACCACATGTATCCATTAAACAATAAAATGTAGGTACTCCAGCTCTATTTAAACCCATTGGCGGTGGACTCTTCATATTGTGTGGTCATCTGTAGCTTTTGAACTCTTGGAAATGCTCCTCTGTGATTTTTCTCAGATTGGTCTACGCATGGTGCAAGAAAGGAATCTATTGGCTGGACCGACAGCTGCTAAAAAGATGGTTGCCACAAGAAGGAAGGCCCCTCAGTCTCTGTCTCAGCAGCAGTGGGTTAATGTGTCCACCACATGTTGCTAAGGAGAGCTTAGGTCAGCATTCTTTTTAGCTCTATTTTTGTTGATCTGTACAGATGTTTGTGTAGGATTTGTTGTTGTTGTCCTGGACCTGTGTGTGTGTGTGTGTGTGTGTGTGTGTTTATGTACGTGTGTGTCTGCGGATGTTGTGTAGATGGACGTACCTCTGGTCGGTGCAGCAGAAAGGCAATGGTCCAGTTTAACCAGGCTGCGGTGGTCTCAGTGCCTCCAATAAGAAGATCCACGGTCGCCATGTGCACGTGTGTGTCACTGAGGGCCTACACGCACACACACACACACACACACACACACACACACACACACACACACACACACACACACACACACACACACACACACACACACACACACACACACACACGCGCACACAGACACACATTATACATTCTATACATGCATTGTGCCTGGATTTTTTATTTCAAATTAGTGCCCATATACAAGGAAAAACAAACATTACACAATATTATAAAACCAAAATACACACAGTATGCATTATAAAGTTATTAAACACCACAATTTGTGTAGTTTATAGAAGTCAAAAAGCACCATGGCCTTCTATACTTCCTTGTGAGTAGTTCATGTGCGCTATACAAGTAAACTTCCTTCATTAGAATATTGGCAGACACGTTTGCTCAAAAGGTGCTCACAAGACAAAACGATATAAAGTTAAAATGTAGGGCTAAGATTCCATGAATAAGCTACAATTGTTTTTTTTTCTATGTTCTAAAGACAAGTATTATGACTGTATGAGAGATTGTACTTACTGTGTTGTGTTCAAGTCCCTGCAGTAAAGAGCCTGTAATCGCGTCCTCACTTATACTTCGTAACGACTGCGGACACAAGGACCAAACGTCACTCCTCAAACACACTGTGAACTATCTCGTGTGTTTCTACTAACTTTATAATCATCCAGGTGTTTCTGTATGATGTCATCTCTCCGCACCACCTCTTTCAAGAGGCGGGAAAACACTGGATTTGGGAGTTTCTATTCAAAAAAAGGAGTTCTGAACAAATGTAGCCATTATATATAAAAACATAGGCAATATTTACGTGCAATGTTGTGCAAAAATATAAACTTTGAAACCCCAAAAACTCAACTGTGTGATGGAATCCAGGTCACTAGTTTATTTCTATCACTAGTTTTCCAAGGCATTTATTTTAGTCTCACAGTTTTATATCAGCTTTTTCAAACATAAATTAGATACAGGTTAATCAGATCTCAGCCCAAATAGTCAAATGGTGACTCACAGGGCTCTTTCCAACAAGTTTGTTTTCCAATAAGACGAGATCAGCATGTTTTGGTCTGGTTTGTTGAAGATTACATTTACATTTACAAAACTCCTTCTGTTGTGGCACAAAACAAGGACTATCTATGGATATCATTAACACTGTTTTTGATAAATGACAAAAAAAATATCCTCTATTTACAGGTCTTTTGTGATCTTAACTAATCGATTAATTGAATGAATAATAAGCCAAATAACTGGTTACAAAAGAGTTTGTTAATACAATGCCTGGCTACTTGGGTTAAGTATGGAAAATCAGATATTGAGTACATTTTGATACTAAAATAAAATTTAATAAACAATCAAGTACAATACAAAATACTAATAATGAAAGTTACTATTCTGAAATACAATAACGATGTTCTGGTAAAATCATCGATGTGGTACATCAAAGACCCAAGGTCATTCATTCTGGAGTTTTGTGTATCTTTGTGTAGCTGAAGTGCAAAATTCCCTTTTTGTCAGATTTAGATCATCTGGGGAATGTTCCAAGTTACAAAAGAATTTGTTTACAGTTTCTTTATGAACGACATTGATGATGCAGTTTTTTGGGCAGCACGGTGGCTGAGTGGATAGCACTCTCGCCTCTCAGCAAGAAGGTCCTGGGTTTGAATCCCGGTCGGACCAGGGCCTTTCTGACTGGAGTTTGCATGTTCTCCTCGTGTCTGCGTAGGTTTCCTCCGGTTTCCACTACCACTAAAAATATGTACAATAGGTGTGGCATGAGCCTCCTGTACTGGCACCCCGCTGCTATCTCTGTGTGGAGTGAGAGACAAATGCCCTAAAAACAACTATTGTAAACCGCTTTGAGACTCAGATGTGCAGTGAAAAGGCCGTATATAAATAAAACTTACTTACTTTTCTCACTAAAGACTGTGTTAAATCTGCCTCATACTTAGAAATGTCACAATCTGTTAATCGCTAATTAAGATCATTCAAGTCATGTTAGAATGGTAAAAACTAAAACAATATGAACCACAGAAATATTAGAAACAGTAAAAAATGTTCCTATTCAGAAATGTTTAAATGAATGAAGACAATATAACATCTTGCAAGTTTAGTCTTGTGATTTTCAACTGCCCCTGCGATCCGGCAACGAATAAAGCGGAATAAAATGGATGGATGGAAGATAAATTGTAGAAGCAATGGCAGCATTGAAAATTAAGGTTTTAAGTTTGAATTAAACAAATGTATAATCATACATACGTCATCGCCATTGCTCTCCCCTCAGTCCTCTGAATAACAGCACCTGGCCTCTCCCCTGGGTTTTTTCTTAGGTAATTTTTCTTTCTGAATTTGTCATGTGTGGAAGATTCACCAAACATATGTCTGCAGAGAAGCGGGGGCATTGACTGACGCTGTGACAAAGGGGCGGGACTAAGAGACACAAAGGGACATTGTTATATTAAAGATTTCATATGAACCATAAAATGGTCTGGTTATGTCTGCTTTGATTTTAAAGCAAATAGTCATTAAATCTTGTTTATAAATATACTCATGACAATTGCTATTGACATCTAATTTCGTAATTTATAATAATTTAATAGTTGTTTACTCTGAGCAGTGGAAAAGAGTCAAGGGCTGAGATCCAGGACGAGCCCCACAGACCCACGATCTCGTTCAGACAGTGATGCAGCTGCTGCAGCTCCGGGGAACTCTTGTCGTACTGGACACAGACGCGACACGCTCAGCTCCAGGTTCAGATAAATACAAATAAAACTGAGTAAACTGGATCTCACTTCTTTTCCAAATGTAAGAGTTGTGATGACGTTACTCGCAGCTACCGTGAAATCCTCCGACAAATCCACAGCTGTGCCTTTATAGTCCGTTAATACCTAGGGAAAAGAATCAAGGTACGGGTGTGCTATCAATATATATATATATATATATATATATATATATATACATATATATATATATATATATATATATATATATATATGTGTGTATATATATATATATATATTTATATATATATGTATATATATATATATATATGTATATAAGTATAAGTATGATTAAAAATGTAGAGCATCCACGTGTTATGTTAGTATCATTTACTCTTTTTGTTATTACTATTTTTGTTATATTTTGTAAATGTACCACCGTTGCTTGTGATTAATTTGTACTAGTCATTTCTATGCCCCCTTATATGCTCAAAAAAAACAAAAAACAAAATTAAAGTCTTATTGTGAACTCTAGCCTGTCAGGACGGAGAACTCTGCTATTATTGTTCACAAAGCCCATCCTCACCGTGTTGATATTGTGGCTGTTAAATACATACCCTACGTTTTGTCCCATCCCTCGTGCCCTGCACATACAGTAAATATATCGTACATTCATGAGGCACAGAGCGTGTCTCTCGATGACGTCGTGAAGAGACTTCTGGCAGCATCGCTGAAGTGCACTGTGCACCAGGCGCCGATGAGCCCTCCACACCTCAGTGTAGTCGCCCAGAGAGATGGAGCAGCCCCCCCCAGACACGATGTTACCTTTGACAAACACAATTCAGAACGAGAGAATTATAGCAACACCTCAAAGACACATGTGGAAACAGAATCTTCCTGTGAGATTTAAAAGGTTACTTCTTATATTAACTTATACTTTATTGTCCCCGTAGGAAAATTGCGTCAGGACCAGAGCTGGAGGATTTGATCTATTGAACATGTTTTAATGTTAAGGGAAACCAGAGCACCCGAGGGAGAAACCGGACCCGGAGGAAACCTATACTGACACCAGGATTCGAACCCAGGAACTTCTTGTTGAGAAGTGAGAATGCTAACCACTCGGCCGCCCACGACTTTGTATTTTTAACACAGCTTTGGGAAAAAACTATTACTTGGAAGGGTATATTTCATTTTACATATTATTCCCTTTCAATTGCACAACCTCAAATCTCTATATCTCGGAACGACCCAGAATTTCATCTTTTTATGAAAAAATGACCAGCTCTGCACACCTGTAGGCGACAGGTGCACATATAATAGATGTTACAGTAAATTTAATCCGGTCAGTTCGACCTTCATTCATGTGGCAGTTTTTTTTTCAATAGAAGAAAGACGTTAGACCAGGGATAATACGGTGTTGTTTCATGATATCATTCCTCATTTCAGGTATACATTTAACTTGTCTTGTTTTGTGTGTGTGCTCTTTGTGCTGCTATTCCTAATGTACAATGCAACACCGACATTTCCCCACTGCGGCTTGAATAAAGGTGATCTTAGCTGACTCCATCAACTCCATCAACTTTTAGTAGCAAGAATGCACGTTATTGTCACAATACATTTGGTAAATGTGTTTCGACATAGAAGCTGAGGTAGGAATGCTAATAGGAGTTATTGTGTATCATCAGAGGTCACTATTGTGACTCCATCAGTTGTCTGCTCTGAGTTACATTAGAACAAGAAAACATTATTATAAAGTGAGGTCTGTAAGTGGACAAAATGCACTTTCTACTCCAACTTGCCTGGTGCAGTTTATTCACAGGTGCACTTAACTGTCCAGCAAAAGGTGTATCAACATTCTAAAAAATTATAAAGATTATCATACATGCTCTAAACCGGGTGTGTTTGAGTGTCCAAAAAAGCTCTATATAAATCAATGCATAAATATTAATAGTGATAATTAATTATAATTATAATTGTTATTATTAATGTTGTGTAGATTAATGAACACAAAGTGACCACCTGTGTATGAGTCTGGTCTTCCTGCAAAATCAGACCATTTCTTGACCAGCGCCTCTCTGATGACTTCACTGCTGCTCAACACTACGATAGCTGTAAAAGAGAGACAATATCCTTTAGAATCTGAGTATGACCAACTATATATATTTTTCTTTTACTGGTGTTTCCACATCTAAGGCGGTAGATGCTTCCATAGCGCTGTGCCAGGCCGGTCAAGTGCAAAGGCAAGTGATCGTGGGCCAACTCCAACATGTTCCCAATGAGAAAATAAGACGGAGGTCCGGGCAGAGTGAGGGATGGGGGACCGCACACCAGCCGGGTAACATACTGGAGCAGGCTTGATTTAGCTGCAAGGGGAAGAAAGGTATTTTTTAGGCTTTTTAGGAAAATAGAAGGACTTATAAGTTTTAGCAAAATCTTGTTACGAACTAAAACTTATGTGATATAAATTTGCCATAGTCGGAACTCAGAAAATTATAATATATAAGAATAATAAGCCTTTTTTTGTTTCTCTTGTTTCTACAAACTGTTAGGCAATTATCAACATTGTGATGTATAAAGACTTTATATATGTCACTTTGCACAAATACAAATACAGTATTTTTACTAGTCTAGCAGCTCTCCTACATCTCTATGACAGCCTTTTGCTGTTTGCTTTTGTTGTTAAAATATTAAAATGTGTTTTTCTCAAATTATTTATATTTTTCCATCCTATTGTTTCTTTTTATTATTAAAATGTTCTCCTGATCTTGACTTTTAGTTTGGCTTCTATTTTAAAAGGGGTTTTTTCCCCATACTTTGGAGACTTTACTTAATGAATTGGATTAGGCAAAAATAAGTTATACTTCAGCCTAATCCCTTCGGTCACAATTGCGTTTGTAAATCTATGTGAAAGCATGTACATTACTGACATAAGATTCATTGTTTTTGTAACCTTGTCCTCTTTTGATTGTCTTTTATGTCTAAATAATGATAATTTGTATGACCGAATAAACAAACAAACACAGATCTCTAAACAAACAACATATCGTGTTTTAACTCGTTGATGCCCAACTAATTGATAAAAACATATGGGATTTTTTCTAATATCATTAGGCTCAGACATGAGGAATAGAACTTAAATCTTAAGTCCTGGTAAAAAAAAATCAAATACGCTTCCCCATTTTTTAACCCCTTTGTGCAATATGCATTTCAATTCAACCACATATATTTGGTCATCTTAAAGGTAGGAGGATTTCAATTTGAGAAAAGACCAACCTTCCTCAGAGGGAACGCCTATAAAGACGTGTCTTGCATATCACCAGGATGATTGACAATTAGGAGGACCAAATTAGATCATCCAACCGGAAGAAGAAAATCCTCCCCTATACCTTTTTGGTATCCCTCCTTTAATCATTGACTGCCAGCCCATTTCAGAACAGGTACTCCCATATTGCCAGCCGTTTCTGATGATTTTTACTGATTTGTCAAGACCCACAGAATATTGTGTACTATGACTATCTGAAATCCTGAGATTCTGAAAGAATGGACTGTCTACTTTCATCGGCAAAAATAATTTTGTTTCTAGCTTGTTTCGTTCCCCTGTAATCCCCAGTTGAGTAGAGGGAAGTTTTACTGAAATCACCAGAATGCTGAGAAAAAAGAGGCACAACATGTGCACCTAACTGTTTTCAAACCATTCATAGAGAAATGCTGCCACCTGCTGGCTAGATAAAATATGGTCTCAAGCCATCCCCACACAGTACATATTAGATACAATAGACATCTGGGAACGCAAAAATAGCGGGACACAATTGACGTGTTAACACGTCAATGGCGGTCAATGAGTTTAGAAGGTTGGTGACCCCTGGTGACCCCTGGTGAACCAGCAGATACAATCACAACTCTGTTACAGTCTATGCCCCTACACTGTTCTTGCTGCTAGCAATAATTCCGGAACAAAAAACAAACAACTTGCTGAACATGATATTGATAACTTACCTCCATTTTCTTCTCTATTTTTAGTTTTGCGTCTCTTGTAAAACATATAAATTAGTACAAAAATAAAAAATAGCAGCAGAAGCAGCGCTTCCACTCTGAACATGGCCATAGTAGATAGTGCTGAGAAAAGTAGCAGAGAGGACGTTTTATATCATGTCTGGTCGACTGTGCTGTCCTCGAAATGTTTTGCTTTGCAGATAAGATCGGAACTGCATGTTTTGAGTGCTTCAGAAAACACGGGTGAGGGGGGGATGAAGGGCAAGATAATATCATAGACCGTAAATAGATAGTACAGCCATTTATCTAATCGTTCTCTTTGCCGCAGGGAAAGCGGCTTGTTTTCAGCGGGAAACGGCGACACATAGCGGCTATCCAGGGTACTGCAGATTACCCGCATAGACTGAAGGTCCATGGTTCACCCATGTCAAATCATAACTATGTTCTTTGCTGCTTTATCACCCATATACCAAGCTGACAGTCTATTGTTGACACGTGTACATCATGTGAAATAATTGTTATAGAGATTACAATTATTGACAATATATCAACTGAAATTAGTATCTCAGATCTTGAACATTTTGAATGTGACTGCAGTATTCATCTATAGGAGGATCTTTGAGTGACATCGTTGTTTGTAGTTTTTTCCCCACCGGTCACGTGACCGGGAGGTAAAATAGCATTGAAATCTACCTGGATGCACGTTTGGAGAGAGGTTTTACTAAATCAATTCTTTTGTAATTCTTTCGGAAAAGAAAGCGAAAAACGGCTGAGGTAAAGTGGTTGTTCTTTTATGCTATTACCTATTGTAAACATAGAACGGCAAGCCGGGGGGATGAGGGGATAAAAATTCATAAACAATTTTAAGTTTTGCAACTATACACTGCACACTTGGTCACTGTGATGATTAATTTTAAACATTGCATTTTGGTTGCTCATCCCTGCGGCTTCCTGGTAAGTAACAGCAAAAAGGAGCAACCCGCTTTTAATGTGCGGACCACTTTACCGCGATGGCAAAATGCCGGGCCACTTTACTGCGGTAAAAAACGCGAGAAATTTATTTTCAACACAGACCCTTCTTGAGTGAAGGGTCCTGGGTTTTCTATGAAGTAAGAATAACAGTCTCGCAGCAGATCGGTGCCAAGACAGAGGCGAGTCTGACCATTGTTGGTCGTCATCCCAATTTGTTCAGTTCGGTCTATACTTATTTTTAGCTTGTCTATATATCTCCTCTGATCTTCTTGCGTTAAAGTGCTTATATACAGTGCTATTAACCCACTGAGTCTTTTAAAAGTACTCGTCGCATCCATGCTTCAGTTTGTGCCGCTCTGTCTTCTTGCCACCCAGCAAGGGGCGCATGCGGGTGTAAACAAAGATCCTCCTATTGTCGTCTCCACAAGTAAGTTCAATCCTCTGCATTTGATTGATCATGACAGCACTGGGGCATCTTCCAGGAGCAGTGGTTGTAATTGTAAAGCGCCCGGGAACCCATCTCCAAATGTTGATAATCGGCTTGGTCAGGATCAGAGCTGGAGTGGTAGGGGAAACTGTGGAGAACATGCAAACTCCACTCAGAAAGGCCCTGCTCCGACTGGGATTCAAACCCAGGACCTTCATGCTGAGAAGTGAGAGTGCTATCCACTCAACCACCTTGCCCCTGTAACATGGTAAACCGTTGTCATTCAGCCGTCTTCAGCTTCAATGTGGACATTTTAATGTTCGGAAGAGCTTAAATCCAATCAAAACAATTTTGCACTCTGTGTTGTCTGCTGTGGCTTGATTAATAAAACGTTTGGACACCTCTGGATTAGAGTGTGGAGGTGTCAGTTTGGTGGTTAAAAGCAGTGAAATTGTGAAAAGTGAGAAATTAATCTAATTTTTTTCAGGGTGACAGTAGCTCAGTTGGTAGAGCATTGGCCTTTGCGCCAGAAGGTTGTGGGTTTGAGCTCACCTCAAGACTTTCACCACTGACTCCCACTGTCTGCTTTCCTTGTGTCTGAATGGTTGGTGGGGGTCAGAGGGGCCGATGGCACATATTGCCGGCGGTTTATCACCACCGTGTTTGGAGTGAATGATTATTGACATGTAAAGTGTCTAAGAGTGTCCAAAAAAGCGATATCTAAAACCGTCCATCCATCCATCCATTTTCTACCCTTTAAACCATTTCTGGGTCAGGGGGGTGGCAGTCAGAGATGCCACCCAAGTCTCATAGCACCAGCCCCTCACTGACCCTCTGCAGGTGGTGAGTCCACAGGAGGACAGCTGCTCTCTGAGTGTGAGCATAGCCTTGATCTTTCAGTGGGGGCATCTTTTCAACACGTAAGCGTGGGTCTGGAGAGCCCGTGTGCCTGGACGGGACTTCACCTGCGGGGTATACTCTTGACAGCTGGAACAAGTTTCAGCCCCTCTGTCTGTCGACCCTGTCCATTGAAGATTCGGAAGACGTATATATCTTTGGCATTTTGGTGGTGGGGATCCTCCTGTTTGGGTTTGGAGCGGTCCTTTTCTACCGCAAATTCGGAGGCATGGCAGTTCACAAGATTCACGACCTGCTGGCCGACAAAATTGATGGGAGGTACAAGGAGCTAAGCCGCGTCGTGGTTGAGAGTGCCGTGTCTGGACAAAGGAGAGTGGTTTTGGTGGAACAGTTGATAAAAGACCTCGCAGCTCGTTCACTCGAAGGGAATAAAACTCTGGAGTTGAGATTGAATGACATTGTGTGTCAGGCTTGAACTCTCTGACCCGGCTTGGATTTGCCCCTGTGTACGGGGTCTGAGGGCGCCGCAATTCGGTTTAATTGGATTTAATAGAATATCTGCCTGCTTTTGACTGCTACATTGCATGTCCCCCTCAGGCGATGTGTTTTTCTCCTGCTGTGTCTTCTCTCCACTCTTATCTCACATTCCTCGGCCAAGGCCATAATAACAAGGTCCCAATCTACAACAACTCACACTATTTCAGCTTCCAGCTCGAATCCCGTTCCCCCGTCTCCCTCTACCTATCCATCTTGCTCCCTCCCTCCACTCCACTCCTCATTGTGTTTCTGACTCACCCCCTCCCTGACCCCGCCCCCCTCTGACAGCCACAATGGGCCGGCAGTCGGAGGTGCTCATCCCGAGAAAAAAATCTGTGGTTTATACAAAGCACAATGTGTCTATCCAACTGTCTGTGAAACTGTATGTTATTGCTCTCTGCTGTTTATTCTACTATTTGTCGCATGGCGCCGTAAAGATGGCGCCGTGGCAAGAGCTCTGGTGTGTGTCGTCTGGTGCACACCGGGGTAGTCTTGCACAGTTTTTCCTATGTGGTTTTACTGCAAATGGCAAATAAATGAATCTGAATCTGACACAACGACAGCAGTCATCAGTGGGAGTCGATGGAGAAGGTGGAGAGGTTGGAATTGAACCCACGACTTTCTGGCCTTAAGGCCAATGCTCTATCAACTGAGCTACTGTCGCCCCATCTAAAACCGATGCATTATTATTATTTTCAAAGTAATACCTTACTCTACTGAGATAGTCAAAATAGTAATCGGATTACAATAACTAATCACTTGGAACTGAGTTACTCCCAACACTGAATATTGTGTTGTATTTAGGTCTCACTGCGATTAGATTTATCTAATTCTTTGTCCAGGGTCAAGAAAAAGTTACTGCGCTCTTCTTCTGACCTTTGAGTTCGCCTTCAGACCTCCAGATGACCCTGACCTCACAACTTCTACCAATCAGAAGTTTCAGATTGACCTTTTGTCTTCTATAAAGACAAAATTGTTTTTATAGTTTTCAAAAATGAGGCTTAATCAATAGAACGACACAATTCAGAAAACAGTCATGGTTAAAAACCATGTATGTTTGTTATGTACTCCTCCTGAATCAGCCATAAACATTTTCATATACAGTATACCACAAAAATGCTCATTGATGCTCCTGTAATTTGAGTAACTGACTTAACAATATAAAGAATTAGACACATGATTAGACTCACAATGGCCACATTTATTCAGTTGATGGAGACAGTGCATAGTTAAACAGTAGTGAAGAACCATTGGAACACTTAAAGATCATACAGCTGGGACACTGAAGGCGGTGAGTCTGCAAAGGTCTTTCAGCAACAAAACAAGTGAACAGTTAGCCGTGTGTGGCCGGGGAAAACCTGGAGGGTCTGAATTTCATCTCAGTGAATGGAATAGAGGCGTCTTTGCCTTTCCAGTCGATCCACACTATTCCCTGTAAATAAATGCATCAAAGTTATTACAATAATGTATTAATTATTATTATTATTATTTCAAAATCAACTTTTTTCATGTTTTAACCATGGCACAACACTGTTCCCTTGTCAAAAATAAACCTGGAGTTGTTTTTAGATAGATAAATAGATAGATAGATACTTTATTGATCCCCCATAGGAGAAATTCTGGTGTCCAGTAGCAGCAGAAACACATGCATCCATACAAACAAACAAAACAAATAGATAGATAGATAATTCTAAAAGTAACGAACAACTAACAATAGTAATGAGATTTTCGATCGATCCCCTTAATAGCGGGGACATACATGTAACTCCGCCCCTTCTGTCTGATCTCGGACATGTGATCATGCTTTCATGTGATCTCGGAATCTCAGAGAAATCATGATCGCTTCCCAATCAGAGCGTTCATGAGGAGTTGGTGACTATGGCGACTCACGTGCAGCAGAGATAGAAACAGGTTTATTAATCAATGAACTGCTGTGATATGAGATATAAAGGAGCAGATATAAGTGTCATATAAAGTTCTTATATTTATACAATCTTTGATAAGTAGGCATATACTTTGCAGCTATATAGTAAATCTAAAAAGATTTTGGCCATAAATATGATTGCGTTCATTCACATTTTTCCGAGTGTGAAGTTGGAACTTCAGAATTTCCAAGGTCATATGAAAGCGGCAGTAGTGTAATAGTATGATGTCACTAAACCACTATGACATCATGCTCAGAGCAGTTTTCTGTCTACAAAACATTATACACCTTCCCCTGGTGGTAGCACAGGGATTCAGCTGCCTGATTATTCACCATTAAATTTCTTCTAAACACATTATTCCACAATCTAAAACATGAAATTACAACAGTTTCAATATATAATTTAGTGGCCATATATAATGCATATTTTTTCTTCTTTCAAATGAAATGTACCTGATTGTTGCTGTTGATGCCGTACAGACCGTTGAGATTAGTTTTATAACAGTTCTTGTACCACCAGCCGCCCATGTAGGCCCTGGAGCAGTGGATGCCCAGAGGATCAGGGTCCTTGTCTCTGGCTGAGAATGGCCGACCGTTGTGGTACCTCATAGAATCACCTGAAAAGTTGGGCATAGTTCAAATTGACTCTGAATATCTCCTAATGTTTATACAGTTATACGGTCTTGTTTTGCTCAATTTGTTATTGCTAATATTATAAATATATAGGAACATTTAAATATCGTTCAAAAGTTAATTTATTTCTGTACCAATTCAACTTACTGGTAAATAATAAAACCAATATTTCACAGCAGTGATCCATTATACTGTATCTCTCTTATTATTCACATTGTACAGTAAGCTGAATTACAGAATGGAATTCTGAACAGTGCTCTAATTTTCACCATTGTTCTTCGACACTGACAGTCTCAGACAGTGGACATACAGTTTGCAATTATCTTTTGCTTTCATTTTCATCTTATAATTTAGTGGCAATGAAGTGATGTTTGTGATATATGAATAGGAGATTTTTAAATTCACAACATAATTCAATACGGTATATTTTTTAAAGACACTGTTCAGAAAAAATAAGGTTTTTGGTCCCTCAGACAAAAATATAACACTGCCTGATATAAAAGTCAAGATATGTAAATAAAAAACAACAAATAATACTAAAAAGAAATGAGATTTTTTTCAAATAAAAATAAATAAACAAAAATAAATAAAAAGTCTATATTGTGACTAAGTTAAAAAGATTGACATTTATCTATAAACTTATTTTCAGCACATATCTAGTGGTGTTCGATGGGTCACCTGCGGTCCCGGTGTATCCGGAGAGGCTCAGGGTGTAGTGGCGTTCCTCGGAGTCGATGGAGAAGTTTGCATAGTGAGCGAACGCCGTGTCGTTCCCAGACCTCATGTCCACTCTGAGGCTGACCGGCCCCACACTGGTCAGGTTGTGAAGCAGCCTGTTCCCTGTTGGCACACAGAATACTCATCTGGTTAAACACACTACAAACTTGTATTTCTGGATGATTTAAAGCTGGGGTACGTAAACAATGCATTTATAATAATGTCATGTGTTTATTTTTGAAATCTGTCCGCTGAATGTCCCTTTATCTACTCACTACCCTGCCCTACATGTATACAACTTTGCACTATATTTAGAGAAATATTTTGAGATTTATATTGAAGCATTTACAGCTAGCTAAAGAACATAACAGTGACTTACATTGTATGTTTTGTGTGCTCTTAGAGTAGTCCTGCATGTGCGCTACAATATTGACATTTCCCCACTGTGGGACAAATAAAGGATCTCTTTTCTTATCTTCTTTAGATCAGCTTTTCCAGACAGAGAAGTGAGAAAGAAAGCACTCTCGCCCAACCAATCAGCTCTCAGCTCAGAGTCATATTTACTCAGACATATTCAATTTAAAAGTGTCAAATAGTGACTCACAGGGCTCCTTTTCAAGCATTCAAAAGATACCATGTTTTCTAACAAGACAGCATATTGTGGTTGGATTTTTTTTTTTTTTCTATTGTAACAAAGGTTTTTTAAAGAAAAATGGAAAACGAAGTTAGGTACCTCAGCTTGGTTAGCATGGTTAAATTTGTCTAAAATGATTATTTGGCTAAAAACTCTGTACCAAGCCAGAATTCTTCACTGATGTTTCCAAAACCGGTGCTGTATTCATTCCACGTTCTGTAGAAGTCAATTTTTCCGTTCATTCTCCGTTGGAAAACCTGAAATACATTATGAAAATCAATGCAGTGATTTAAAAAACATTCAATCTGGGTTTTCTCTCACCGTCCAGCCCCCGCCATCGCTCTCCATGTCACAGTAGACTCTGGCTGCCGGCCCCTCTCTGCCCTGGGGGTAAATGTCCACCTCTCCAGACTGAAGAGCTCCGTTCAGCAGCTCCTGGGAGCATTCGGTGGGGAATGGGAAGCGGAGTTTTCCTACAAAGAGATTCAAACATTCTACTGTAACGTACTATAAACCATAGCGCCCCCCACAGGGCCACAACAAACTTTCAGATTTCACTCAATACAAATATGTCTACATTTATTCATCAGAGTGTGATTCATCCAAAGACAGAACGGGAATAATGAATGACATACACTACAAAAACAGCAAAAAGGTGCGCTAAGAAGTTGCTTTTTGTCTTTAAAGTATAGCCATTATTTTGCCAATGCGATATGACATTTTTTTAATATTGTGATTTAAACAAGACTGCTTCGTTGTCACTTATTTTTTTACAGATCAAAGATGTAGGCCTCGGCACAAACTAGCGTCGCCTCTAATTGTGACAAACGATTATTCTGTTTTCCCTTGTTCACCGCTCTGATCGCTGCATGAAAAGCTGCCTCTCCCATCCTTTTACTTTTACGCACTGCTGCAGCTGCACTATTGAAAATAATCCCTCCCCTTGGCATAACTACAACCAGTAAGATTTGCTGGAGGAGAATAAATTAACCATGGGCAAGGTGAGCATGAGCGGGTCTAACCAGTGCTTGTCTTTCTCTCTCCACAATTTTAAATATGACTGACACTAACATTCACTTCAATAATTCATCGTTATTGTTAGAAACATCTTCAAATATTATGTTTGAGGTCACTTAATACATCTATCCTGAGGTACAAAGCCAATTCAAATTCATATTAGAATTTTGCAGTGAGAAAAGCTTCCTCCAGCCTCTGCTTTACCAGTGGTGAACTCTGTAGTGGCAACAGAAGTGTAGTGTCCATCTCTGTGCCCTTGCACCAACACTGTGTAGCGAGACATGGGAACAAGGCCTGTCAGCTTGTATTCAGATGTGGTCGGATCCAAAATAATCTCCTGCTGAAATATGAAGACATAAACACATTCAAATAAAGAATAAAAACCTTCATAGACTGAGAAAGAAACTACGCTCACCTTGGTCTCTTCTCCAACCACCTGATATGTGATTCTGTAGCTGTGGTAAAAAGTGGAGAGCTTCCATGTGATGACGGCATAATGTGCGCCGACTTCACTGGGCTTGACCGCTGCCATGGGTCATAGAGAAGAACAGAAAACAATGTGTAAAGTTGAGGGTTATTATTATTATTATTTTAATCCTTCCTGCTGTTGTCAGACTGAAATATAGTAATACTCATCTGTATTCATAAAGTACTATAACTCCACACTTTTCTCTCATTCTATCTCCGCTTTTAAGCCTGGATCGAGTGGAGATCTGGGCTAGTTTTTAAGGCTAACAGCTAGTGGTCAATTTCAAGCATGCAGCAATCATAGACTACTTTGCTAACCCCCTAGCAAATGAAGCCCAATAGTGAAGTGCTCATTGACTAAGTTTAGCTCTGAATATCTGTCCACTTGAATGGACAGATATTTTGGTGTCCATTGGCAACTTTTTCTTTGCACATTATCTACATGCTGCCAAACTTTAAACTTGCTCACATGCGACTCACATAAGTAACTCAGTATATGAATATGATAAAATCTTTTCCCAGTAATAAGTGGAAGCATTATTTGACAATTTGTTAAGTGCTGTTAACTTACTTTATCTTTCACATAGTGTACCATATTTTAGGCTTTAAGAATCTACATTTACATTCTATATTTGATTCCTCCCACTGGGTGCTTCTTTTTTAACCAGCATCGCAGTCATGAAATGTCCCCACGGTGGAACTACCAAAGGTTATTATGATCTCACTATTGCACATACTCACCGTTAGCAGTAGTAAATGTGGTGGAAACACTCGCACTTTGATAATCGTCTTTTTGGGTAAAGATCTTGACCGAATACATGGTTCCTCTTTGAAGGCCCTTCAGTTGGTGTTCAACAGTGTTCGCAGAAAGCATCACAGTCACCGTCACATTTGGAGCTGCAGCAAAACAAAGATACGGATGAAACATGTTACTTTTTGTTATCTTTTTGTGTTGTCCTGGTTTGATAGTCACTTTTGGACGACTCGTAGCTGATGACGAAGCGATCGACTTTCCCCAAACTGGGCGTCCACTTCAGCAGGGCCTTTGTGTCTGAAACATCTACTGCCTGGAAGTCTGTAGGGGGAGCTGGCACTGTGGACAAGAACACATGGTCAGTTTTCTCTTTACAAAGCTACGGACTAGAAAAGATAGTGACTTTACCTGTTGTGATTAGAGTGGTGTGCGCGTCACTCAGGACTCTTCCATTCATAGTGCACACAGTCACGATGTAGGAGGTGCCAGCAGACAACTTGGACAGAGTAAAAGTCATGTATCCAGTCCCTAGGGTCACTGAATGGTTTTCCCCTATAGTGAAAGACATTGTTTAGTGATTTAAAGTGAGCCTTTTAGAGTTGTATTGAAGTATATGTAATTAAATCTGGTCCCAGTGAGACAAGCAAGTGACAATGGAAGGATATTTTTGATTGAATTTTTTATAAACATACAATTAGAATGTCCTCATCTTCAATAAGAGTAGAGAAGGCAACATTGAAGAGGACATATTCTGTTTCATTTTTGTCCTATAATAATTAAAATGATACGTTTCACTTAACCATGTTTAATAACACAATTGAAATAATGTCATAAGTAGAAATTACTGTAAATTGTGAGACAAGTATGAGGGGTGAAAAAATACTTTCTGTCTGTAACTCCCTATGCTACCAACAGAGGGAGGAGTTGATCATGCTCTTACAGGACTAAGACAGCGACTTTTTAGAAGGGAGAGTTGACAGTGTATTTTTTAGCTGTATTTAATTAAAAAGTTTCATCCAATGGGAAAACTAATAAAGGATTTGCTGAATGAGTGAATGACATGTTCTTTTAACCAATCACAGTAAAGAGTTAATTCTGGAACCAGCATACACATACCTATTGTAAAATACATATATTATGAATGCACACAACAGACCTGTGACGATGTTGATGTATGTGATTCTGTAGCCAGTAAATGCACCCTTTGGTTTATTCCACGACAAAGTGAAGGAATTCTCAGTGAGATCTCCGAACAACACTTCCTCGAGCGGCTCTGGGCCTGACAGAAGAAAATAGATCATTTTCATGCAAACTTCCAATGCAACTTATATAACTCTCAAAACTACCTGTTGTAGCCGTTACTCTGTGCATTTTGGATCTTTTGTCCTGTCCTGATGCGTAGACGTAAATCACATATCGCGTGTTCGCCTGCAGATTACTGAATTCTACAGAACGCGTGTTTCCAGGAACGACCATTGATACCCTTCTACCTTCTGCTTTACTTCTTGTTGCTGTCACTTTTCCAGAAGATGTTCCATTGACGGCAATTTCACTCTGCGCCTGGACCTCTGTAATGTTCTTTCCTGTTTGGGATTTGTCAAAGACTTCCTCTTCTTCGATGTCTGCAGTCTCCGGTTCACGACGGACCACTGTGAAGTTCTTGAACATTCCATGTGGAGCAGACCAGGTGAGGATAAAGCTGTAAGACGAAACATTGGTGACCCTTACTGACCCTAGTCCTCCTGATTTTGGAAGTGAATCTTTGACTTCGTCGCTCTTGTTTTGCGGTGGTCCAGTCTCTTCTGTTGCTTGCGCAGTCGTCACATTCACAATATACATACTCTTTTGATTGATCTTTGCCGTTTTACCATCGGCAACTTGTTTGTCATCACTTCCCTTTTCTTTTTGGGTCTGTTGAGAGGAAGACTTATCTGTGCTGTGGATTTGTTGAGTGGAAGACTTCTCCGTGCTGTGGATTTGTTGAGTGGAAGACTTCTCCGTGCTGTGGATTTGTTGAGTGGAAGACTTCTCCGTCATGGTGGATTGTTCCACTCGTGTTTTGCTTGTCTCCGTAGCAGATTTTGTTGCATTACCGACCTTCTTTGTTGAAATTTGGGTGACGTTGGTGCGAGGTTCATCTTTGAGGTTGTTAGATGTACTTGTGGGCCTATCGACAGATTCCTCAACTTTGCTGTCCTTATTCTTTTCAACCTTGGAGTCCTTAGTCTTTTCGACTTTTGAATCCTGAGTCTTCTTTGGAGTCATGACAGCGGGCCTATCTGTGCGCACCTCCTGCTTCTTCCCTTTATTCAGCAATATCTGAGTCTTGGTAGAAGAGTCAATTTTTTTAACTGAAGTGTCTGTTTTGGTCTGTATTTTACTTCCTTCTTTGGCTGTAGAGTCCAATACTTTAGAATCTCCCTTGATGGTCTTAGATTGGGATGCATCCTTTGTGCTACTATTTTTTTTAGTTGATGTTGTACCGGTTTCTCCTGTAGTCTTAGGCTTTTCTTTGACAACTCCTGAAACGCAAAGAGGAGTTTATTAGTTGAAAGACCATGCAATGCATCATTGCACAATTCAGTTCGATCCCTTGTACTTACTGCTGCAGTCTGATCCAATAAATCCTTGTTGGCAAATACATTTTGCTCTCTCACATTTACCATTGCCACTGCAGTCATTGGGACAGCTTGCAGAACAGGCACCTAAAAAAGCATAGAGGAGAGTTTGGATTACAAAAAATAAAAACAACCATATACATAATGGCATTAATTGTACAAATAACCCTTACACTTCTCTTTCATGGATGACATTTCTTTTTCCAGCAGAGCCAATCGTCCCTCAAGAGCAGCCATCTTAGCCTCACATCCGCCCTTGCAGCTGGTTGGTACCAAACTGATCTTGTGCGTCATCACTATAGGAGCTCCTGGCTTAAGCTCCATCTCCTCGTCCTTTTTACCGCCGGACTCACAACCATCCCTTATGACCACCTTGATTGGCGGGGTGGGGGCAGTACTAGGCTTGGTAACTTTGGCGACCAGCGTTTGATTGGCTGAAGGTTGGTCTTTACCTCGTGCAGCTGTGGTAAGAGCTTTAGTAGCTGGTTTCACAGTTTGACTTGTGGAGGTGGCCTTTTCCTTGGGGATCTTGTCTGTAGCGGCCAAGGGTAGTGATGGTTTAGCTGCCGCAGAAGTATTCGTAGTAGTCACTACTTTTTCTTTAGTATTTGCACCATCTAATCCAGATGTACTCAAAGTGGATTGAGCATCTGGCACAATTGCTGGTATGGTCTTCTTTGCAACATTAATGTTAGTTGAAGCAGGTTTTGTTGTGACTGTAGCAGCAGGTTGAGCTTTCTCTTTTGCTTCTTTGGTTGGCTTTGCAGAGGCGACCTGAGCAGTTGATGTTCTTGATGGGGTTGACTTGTCTTTTGCTGCTTTTGTTTCAGTTGTGGTTTGATTTACAGAAGCTTGAGGTTTGACTTTGGCTTTGACTGTCGCTGCATTAGACACAGACTTGGCTGAAACACTCACTGACACTTTGTCCTTTGTTGTCTTGGCACTGCTTGCTGGTGTGATTTTTGCTACTGTCTGCTGAACATTGGATGGTGCTGTGGGAGAAGGTTTCACTTTGACTGTTTTAGCCTCAGCCGCAGCCTGAGGCTTGGCTGGGGCTGTCTGGTTGACTGAAGCAGAGAGTTTGCCTTTGTTGGATGCATTGGGGGCAGAAGCTGTCTTTGGGGGCGCTGCGGGAGTGGTCTGAATCACTGGTGGGCTGGGCTTACTTTTGGCGGGTCCTGCAGTGCTGGTTGTTGGAGGGTTTTGGGTGGTTGTGGGTGATGGTAAGACTGTATGATTGACCGCGTTGGGCTTTTGGGCAGAGCGAGCTGCCGGTTTGGCAGCAGCAACAGTGGTTTTTGGTTTTAATAGGGTAAGAACGGAATTTGCTTTGGTGCCTTCGCTTCCCATAGAGTCCCTTCTGTCAATGGTCGGGCTTTCAAATGAGGGAAGTGGGGTGAGGAGTAGGAGAAGTCCAAGAGTAAACAGCATTTTCAGCCTTTGCCTTTCTGTAAGTGCAGTTTATGTACATATATATTTGGCGTCCACCCTGGTTTCCCTCCTGAAGATTACAAAGCAACCATTAAGAAACTTTAAGAAGAAGTTTTATATTTAAAGTTCAACATCTTGAGCACAATCTTTGGCTGTACTGCTATGATAAACTGTTTGCCCAAACTGTAAAAATAGCTGAAAGTGCACAGGAAGGAAAAGGTGTTAAAAGTGTTAGTGAGTGACAGGGTAAGAGAACACCAACAAAGCCTCACTGTGCTGGACTGTGGCACTCTGTACATCTCATGGTTACATAACTCTTCAGCCTTTACTGTGCCTGCCAACATTTGCATTCAAATATAGGTATTAAAAAAGTACAGTAATCAAAATAATAAGAAAATAAATTGCATATATAATCTCACTTTAAACATATTTAAACAGGAGTCCAAAACCAATACAGACCAATTGAAGAATGTCAGTCTAGAATCATTGGCTTACCTGAATTCTATTGTCTTGCCTTATACCTGCCTTTGTGCTATAGAGTCCATCAGAATAAAAAATCTTCCTTGGTGCCGTTGATGGTATCTGGAGAAAGACGTGGGAGAAAGAGCCAGTACTAAAAAGGAGGAGAGATATAAGTTTGCTCGTACTTAAGGACCCCCTCCTTCACCACAAGTGGTCCCACTCTTCACCGCTGCGGAAAATATTTGCCCAGGATTTCTAAAAGAAAGTGGTATTTTACATCAATTTATATTTAAAATCAACAAATAACCGTTTGCTCTTCTCAAAAGTGAGTCAACAATCAATAAATATACCTGGACCAATTCAATTACTTTATTGATAATGTGACTGTAGCATTTTATTCACTGTGTATGAGGTGATTATGATCTCTACATTTAAAGGTGCACTATGGAACTTTTCTGAAATGGGCCATTACCTGCTTGTTGCCTTGGAGGTATTATTGCTTTGCTTAATAAGATAAGATAAGATAAGAATTCCTTTATTCGTCCCACAGTGGGACAAATATTAAATAATATTTAATATTAAATAATGTTTTACAATATTTAATGAATTTGAAATCCTACAGTGTGGGCTTGCCTACCTGCAAATGTATTTGTATAGCACAACCAGGCAAAAGGATCACATAATAATCAAAGTAAATTAGACAATACAAAAACCCTTATTGAGTAAAAGCTAAAACTCAGATGACTAGAACTAATACTGTTTTCTTCCTCGATTTAAATATTTCCATTGACTCGAGGCCTGGCTCCCATTTTCAGGAAGAGTATGAATCTGAAAGGCTTTAGGTCACAGCATTCAGATTGGGGCATAAATCTCATTTTGGTCAGGGCAGAGAGTCAAGGGCCGAATTAAAGCGGTTTTCTTTGAAAAAGTTAGATATTTATTACGCTTTATTAAGCTAGCAAGATCAGTTCAGTTACAGTTTGGTTTGAACATATGGGGGCGGGTCCCGGCTCAAAAATGTCCAAAATGACGTGCGCTGACATGCTGTAATACCACCCCGGGCCGATGGCGGTGGACCCGGAATATGAATTATTCAATGCTAATGAACATATCTTCTTATCTCTCAAAAACGTCTTTACAGGATGGTCCAAAAGTTGGCTCTTGGCCCAAAGCTCCGTTCCATATGTGTGTCAATGCTGAGGGGAGTGATTTTTTTTGGACCAGCCTAGTTTAGCCGCAGTGGAATTTTGAAGGCACTCGTCAAATGAATGGGGCTGGTGCCGGCTGACACATGCGCAGATGCGTTTTTTTCACATTTTCCAGCCCCCGCGGCCCATAGACGGTGAAAGTGGTGGCACATTAGTTTCAACGGCGGAGATAGGCGTGACTACGTCTGTTAATATTTACGTTTAAACCAAAACTGGACCAAAGGTAAAACAGTATTTTTGTAAAAAAAAAAAGGTGATTGGAGATTTATATGCCAATGCTTTTTATCTTTTATTCAACTGTATCCAATTACATGTTTTGTTCAAATTTTAAAATACATATAAATTACGGACAAAATTTGCCTGCTTCGCAGCAAGAAGGTCCTCGTTTGAATCCACCTCCAGGCCTTCTGAGTGGATATTGCATGTTCTCTCGGTGTCTGCGTAGATTTCCTCTGGATGCTCCAGTTTCCCTATACCACTAAACACATGTAGAATGGCATCTCTTATCACTGAGTGTGGAGTAAATTGAAATGATTGAAACAACGACACTCTGGAATGTTGGTCTTTTAAATGTGCTATATAAATTCTAAAATTATATTTAAAGATACTTACTTATACTTACTCACAATGCTGAATGTTAATCATAATATTTAAAATTCAGTTCAGGGGCCGCTGAAAAGGTTTTATTTATACTTAGCTGGAGACATGCAGGCAAGAGGTGATCTTTAAGACAAATGTTGACCCAATAAATATGTATGAAAAGGGCCCGAAACGACCACTTATAGGCTGAGAAGCTGATAATTACATATAAAAGAAACAGTAAATGCAGTGGTCCTTTGCGAGCCCCCTGCAGCCTTAGCATACGTGCGCTGGGGCTGTAGCAGGCGCAGACAGGCAGATGGATGGAGGCTCGGGGTGAATAAAAGCCTGGAGTGAGAACCATGATTCAGCTGGAACACACGGCTCACAACAGTGCAGGTATTGAGCGCGCCCTCTTGGGGACAGGAACCGCGCTCTGCATGAATCGGCCGCTTGTTGGGCGTAATGAGATGTAACTACGTGGGAGTTATGTAAGTGACCGAGTATCCAGCGAATTTAAGAACGCTCTGTCAGGGCCGTGCGGCTCTGACCAGATGACCACCCACCATCCTGCCTTTTGTAAACCACATGAAGAGGCCAGGGCTTTGGAGACACCACTGCTGCAGCAACGAGCACGCAAGCTTTTGCAAACAAACTCACAACTCACAGCAGCATGAGAGTATTAAGATCAATATATGATGTCCGTGTGGAGTTTGCATGTTCTGCCTATGTCCTATGTCTATATCGTCAGTTATTGCCATTGCCTTAAATATGAGTTTCCAACCTTTAGATTACCCCGCAACTCCATCAGTCCAAAAAGCCAAGCAAAAAAGGTTTTTTTTGTTCCTTTTTTTTTTTTTTACAAATTAATACAATAAATTTAAAGTAAAAATAGAACAAAATAAAGACAATAATGACGGATTAAAGACAAAAAATAAATATAATAAATAATAATTCACAAACAGAAAATTGAATTGAATGTAGTTTTTTTTGTCTATTTTTATTTCATACTCATGTTTTAATGAAACGTATCTGAAATGATCCATATTAGCAGAGTTTCCGTGCAAAACATTTAAACCATCAAATGTAATTTAAGAAAATAAAACATTATTCCATGGCTCCAAACTAACCCTCCATATAATATAACAATTTTACAAGACATATTACATTATACCAAATTGTTATTATTGTTATCATCATTTTTATACTTATCATTACATATTCTTATATCTATTTTAACTGTAATGGACTTATTTATCCATGTATACCTGTAGAGATAAGTGCTCTGTCAGATGTGCGAAGATGCAGACTGTGGTTGTGCAGTGACTGCCTACATGGGTATTTTTAATGTAGATATATCTGTTGCAACATGTCTAAATGGACATGTTTACCTTGGCACAGATGCCAGAATAGACCTACAGTAAGTCCATCCTTAAAACGTCTAGTGCAGTAGACAGCAAACAGAAAAATAAGATGGTTTGGTCAAATCTGATTAGTGCTTTAGACAGATTTGGCAAAAGAACACGCTGTTCACTGCAGCTGGGACTGTAGGGTTTCAGACTTAGGGCCATATCATGAATGCAATGAGTTTTGATGAGAAACATTGACACTTGACCATGACCTGTTTTTGAAGTTTTTCTCTGTTGTTTTTGTGCAATTCAGTGAGAAACGCAAATTCTTAATCCTAGAACTCATAGAGTATAGTCAATTTGATGGCTTTAGTTTTGAAGTATAACTCAGCGTAGCAAGTATTTCTATGTTAACTAGTTCAAGCACTTATCAAAGTAATTTGTACAAATTGGTACTGTAGCATTTTATATACTGTATGTTTGTGCTATACAACTAAAAATTGATTGATTAAAAGGGGCAGTGGGATGGAATGCATGGTTAAGTATGTAATTTGTATTATTCAATCATACAAGTACAGTACATCCCATACGGAAGAAGCCGATTTGACCATAGGATAGCTAGAGCCATTTCCTTACATGGGAATTTTTACTAAATTGATTAGTTATGTGGCCATACTTGCGTGCAAAATACAGATTACGTCGGCCTCTGAAGCTTTGCAGGGTATGGTCTGGTCTTTACTGTGAGACCTCTGGGAACACCAGGTGCCACAGTGGGGCGGCTGTAAAGTGCCAAACTGTTGTTGTGTCCTTAGGCAAGAACATTCAACCACATTGCCTGAAATGAGGCTGGTGTGAGCATGAATGGTTGGTGATGGTCGAAGGAGCAGTTGGTTCATACTGTTTACCTTGCTTCTGTCAGTGTGCCCCAGGGCAGCTGTGGCTACAGTAGTAGTTTATCACCATCGTGTGTTGAGTGTGGTGAACATTTTAAAAAGTTGTTTTTCACATTTTACTCTTTTGTTTGGCAACGCGTTTGGGAATGAAAACCTTTGTCAGAGCATTTTTTTGTGTGTCTCTAACATGGTTGCTAAGGCAAGTTGGAAATTCCCCTCCAAATGAAGCCATTTGATTGGTTAATTCTTATGGCTCATAAATATTTACAAAGACAATAAAAAACCTCAGGATCACAGAGGACACTGAACCACTTATCATTAAAGCCCAAAAATGGTGAGCGTGACACAAAGGTTTACTGAGGTAGAGGAGTTTAGTTTTAAATGTAAGTCATAGGCTCCAAAGCGAGCAAAACTTTGTCCATAAGCAC